TCTGAGCATGAACAAGCGTTGTTGTTAACCCCCCTCGGTGACATCCTCCAAACAAGTAACAAAGAAGTTGGTTTCAGCACAGAATCCAAGCTTGAGCATGAGAACGGTTTCATGAATACGGGCCCTGTTCTTAGTGCTATCAACCTTTGTACTAGTTTGTTCTGCCAATTCTTGTCCGTGTGCAGATAATCAACTCATTTGGTCAACCTTGACTTTTTAACATACTATAATGTACCACGTGACCGTTTTGTGTTGTTGTCTCNTGCAATTGTATTTATTGAATGACCATTTCTTTACATAAATTATATGAATTTAATATTTTTTCTGATATGGGCCCAGGAAATAGTCACAGGTCGGCGTTTCTTCTCCGGGTATTCCGGTTTCCCTCCACCACCAAAACCTATATGAGGCCAAAAACAGTTACCCTACATGTTCCTTCCCTTATCTTTTCCATTAACCCTAAAACAAAATTTGCAATTATCAAAGAAGTACTGTTAATTTATAGATGACTCGTCTATATAAACCTTATAAAAATATTGAAAAATACATATGATTTACTACCTACCCACCCTTTTTATTTCAAACATGTATAATAACAATATGCAAACACAAAATCAAGTATAATGGGCTAAATTTGGAACAAAGAAAAGATTGACATGAAGACACTCGAAAAAGTTCATGGACAACAAGAATTGGTAATTCGGAAAAGCAGGAGCTTGTCTGCATCAAAGACGCCCACCATTAAAATCTAGGTCAGATCCAAGTAATGTCATAAATACGTCAAACGAAGAACCAGGGTAATGTCGTTCTCGTTATTTATTTATTTATTTATTCATTTATTCAATTTGTCATGTCAACTTCCGTTTCGGTTTTGCCTCTACATGTTGCCATTGTGTTGACGCAGTGGTGTATTATTTGTATTTCTACAATTTGTTAAAATAGAAAGTATTCCTCCACATAACAACAATCTTGCTTCAAGATATTAACTCTTTAACCAACATGATGCTATTTTGATGGATTTACATTGTAATAATTATTTTCATCGATATTTTGGTTAATTCATTGTTCGTAGTGTTGTATCCATTCATAAGATTGTTTTTCTAACATTATCTCTGATATATCATATTTGAGTAATGGATGTCCTCATTCTCTGTATATGAACCTAAAAAATTGGTGTTCCGTTCATAGTACTGTGAACGAACCATTGTGCCAGTTTATGACCTACACACTCTGCAATATAACCTCTGATTTTCTCAGACTGCTGTACTGTGTGCCCTGAGGGGTGATTATTATCTGTCCTAGTTTACAGTATTTGATGGTAACCAATACAGAAGATTGGATCGTAATGGTCAATACAACAGTTTTAAAGCCTGAATATTTATGTCTTTATGAATTTTCATTTAAGTTTATTGCGATCAATATAGAGAATAGGCAAATCAATCAAATTCCGAAAAACTCCTCATACGAGTTAAGTATTCAGGAGTTTATTCACTGTCGAGGACAGGATCTATTATTCCTAAAATTATCAAACTAAAGGCGTGGATTATGTGCCTTTAATGTCTTTTAATTGCCTTCTGACAGATGAAACAAGACATGTACTTAATGTGGTACAGGAAACGGCAACATTTACGTAGTACCTAGTGCTCTGTTAGGATACATGCATAAAGGTAAAAGAAATGTCTATAAAACTGTAATTCAAACTTCTAAACCGATAAAATTGTACAAAAGCTATATAAGGAAATATTTACATGGTGATCCTTCCAAATGTTGGAGAAGAATAAGACAAGGTATTCTGGACGGGTAGATGTTCTCTGCTTCATCGACGACACCAATAATGGAAATCTAGGTCAAATCCATTTAATGTCACGTCCTCAACTAGAGAATCGGATGTTGTTGTTTGTTATGTCTGTGTTGTTGACTTTTTGAATCTACGTAAGTTCGGTTATATGGTTTTCTTGCCTATACCTTTTATTGCTACATTAGAACATTATAAGCACGGACTATTATTAGACCCTTTCATGCCCAGGGGTAACAATTTCCAAACAGAATGGTTTCAAATTTTACGGCAATTTGAAAATACCGAGGGTGGAATTTCCTAATTTACATCTCTGAGCATGAACAAGTGTTGTTGTTAACCCCCTCGGTGACATCCTCCAAGCAAGTAACAAAGAAGTTGGTTTCAGCACAGAATCCAAGCTTGAGCATGAGAACGGTTTCATGAATACGGGCCCTGTTCTTAGTGCTATCAACCTTTGTACTAGTTTGTTCTGCCAATTCTTGTCCGTGTGCAGATAATCAACTCATTTGGTCAACCTTGACTTTTTAACATACTATAATGTACCACGTGACCGTTTTGTGTTGTTGTCTCTGTTTTCGTAATATCGTTGAAGTGGGTGTTTCTTATCTGTCTTTGATGAACACCTGTGATGGTGACGAATACAGAAATTTGTAATATAACGGTCAATGCAGCAATTGTTTTTATTAAATGACCATTTCTTTACATAAATTATATGAATTTAATATTTTTTCTTATATGGGCCCAGGAAATAGTCACAGGTCGGCGTTTCTTCTCCGGGTATTCCGGTTTCCCTCCACCACCAAAACCTATATGAGGCCAAAAACAGTTACCCTACATGTTCCTTCCCTTATCTTTTCCATTAACCCTAAAACAAAATTTGCAATTATCAAAGAAGTACTGTTAATTTATAGATGACTCGTCTATATAAACCTTATAAAAATATTGAAAAATACAATTGATTTACTACCTACCCACCCTTTTTATTTCAAACATGTATAATAACATTATGCAAACACAAAATCAAGTATAATGGGCTAAATTTGGAACAAAGAAAAGATTGACATGAAGACACTCGAAAAAGTTCATGGACAACAAGAATTGGTAATTCGGAAAAGTAGGAGCTTGTCTGCATCAAAGACGCCCACCATATTAACTCTTTAACCAACATGATAATGTCATAAAAACGTCAAACGAAGAACCAGGGTAATGTCGTTCTCGTTATTTATTTATTTATTTATTCATTTATTCAATTTGTCATGTCAATTTCCGTTTCGGTTTTGCCTCTACATGTTGCCATTGTGTTGACGCAGTGGTGTATTATTTGTATTTCTACAATTTGTTGAAATAGAAAGTATTCCTCCACATAACAACAATCTTGCTTCAAGATATTAACTCTTTAACCAACATGATGCTATTTTGATGGATTTACATTGTAATAATTATTTTCATCGATATTCTGGTTAATTCATTGTTCGTAGTGTTGTATCCATTCATAAGATTGTTTTTCTAACATTATCTCTGATATATCATATTTGAGTAATGGATGTCCTCATTCTCTGTATATGAACCTAAAAAATTGGTGTTCCGTTCATAGTACTGTGAACGAACCATTGTGCCAGTTTATGACCTACACACTCTGCAATATAACCTCTGATTTTCTCAGACTGCTGTACTGTGTGCCCTGAGGGGTGATTATTATCTGTCCTAGTTTACAGTATTTGATGGTAACCAATACAGAAGATTGGATCGTAATGGTCAATACAACAGTTTTAAAGCCTGAATATTTATGTCTTTATAAATTTTCATTTAAGTTTATTGCGATCAATATGGAGAATAGGAAATTAATCAAATTAAAAAATATCCTCTTACGAGTTTAGTGTTTAGGAGTTCATTCATTGTCGAGGACAAATATAAGACATCGCCATAATTGAGAATAGCATTCAGCGTGTTTGCATCTGTTTACGTCACCTTGATTCATGATGAATAAAATAGTGTTTATTATCTATCATTCTTTAATTTATCAAACTAAAGGCTTGGATTATATGCCTTAACGTAGTTTAGTTGCCTTCTGACAGTTGAAACATGACAGGTGCAGGAAACATGACAAGTGGAGGAAACGGCAACTATTCCTTAGTACCTAGTGCTCTGTTAGGATACATGAATAAATGTAAAAAAAATGTCTATAAAACTGTAACTGAAACTTCCAAACCGATAAAACTGTAAAAAAAAAAAAGTATTCAAGGAAAGATTTACTTTGAGCTCCTTCTAAATATTTGAGGAGAATAAGACAAGGTATTCTGGACGGGTAGTTGTTTTCTGCTTCATCGACGACGCCAATAATGGAAATCTAGGTCAAATCCATGTAATGTCACGTCCTCGACAATATTGTCGTGTGTTGTCGTTTATTTACGTTTGTGTTGTTGTTTTTTTGTATCTACTTAAGTTCTGTTATATGGTTTTCTTTCCTCTACTTTTTATTGCTACCATAGAACATTATAAGCACAGATTATTATTAGACCCTGTCATGCCCAGGGATGAGAATTTGCAAGCAGAACAAGCAGAAGGGTTTCAAGTTGGATACAATCAGCTAACAATGGGTTTCGCGCAAATTTGAAAATCCCGAGGGTTGCATTTCCTTATTCTTCATCTCTGAGCATGAACAAGTGTTGTTATTTAATTTCTAGAACTAGTTCAGACCCCCAAGTTAATGGCTTCATTAACAGATAATTGCAATAACGCATTCACTATCAGGTTCACTTTAGATGTGCCGATTATTAACCTGACAGGTCTTATCCAGACAGATCATATCGGTCTGTAAACCCTCACAATGTCACCTACTTCTGCAAGATTGGTTTTCTGACATTATCTGGGATTTCACAGGTCTCAGTGAAGTTCCGTTCATAGCATTACGAACCCTTGTGCCAGTACAAAACCTGCCCACTCATATTCTTTTCCAGATTTTTCCATTATGCATTATGTTAACCTTGACATTTGCCACCGACTACCACGTGACTACTTGTTTTGCTATCTAGGCTCGTAAACAGAATTATTTGATGGCAACCGATAGGTAGTATATACTTTGAAGATATGCATAAATATGATATAAACAATGTTTAGATATAGAATGATTTTTTAAGAAATTTTCGAAGATCCATACTTGATCGATTGTGATTCTTTAATAAAAATACAAGAAATCACAAGCAACAATAAACTGTAATTTTATTTCTAAATAACAGCAGAAGACCTCAGTCTTGCACTACGGTAATTCACCCTCGAGCGTAAGATGCAGCAACCCTGGAAAACAATAAAGCGAATCTTAGTAACAGATATTAGAACGCAAGATTTGTCACAATATGAAAAGTCTTCCAATTCTCAAACAACAATGGCTATTTATGTCAGGATGTCTCGTATTTGAACTATTTACAATTCTTCCAAAATTGTTTTCATTCCATTCCGACGAATTGCTTCATCTTATGACAAAGAACATAGGTTAAAATGTCATACAAAAAAGTCGGCATCAATGAGAAACCTCTGGAAGATGAAATTTAAAATTTCTACAGAAAAAAAAAAATTCACGTTCATGTAATGTGATTATTTTATATACAGAAGGTATTAAAAGCTGATATACCACAGTATCATCACACAAATTTTAAATGGATGTCAATATGAAAACATAACTGAAGGAACTGGTGAAACATTAACACCTATACAACCAATTGAATAGCTTTTATATTTGTTGAAGAACTATGGAGTGATGCAAAGATGAAAGAAACGCACAGGTAACTGAACCTTAAAAATCCGATAATGGAAAGATAAAAAATAAAGAAAACTGCATCATACAGATGTTTTGTCTCCTTCTTGGACTCATCGGTTATCGTAGAGGTCAAAGGTGCCTAAAAATCCTTAATGTTAAGAATTTCAAAATTTAGAGAAGAACTGTTCATTTCAAACTAAATACTTATATATATATATGATTGAATTTTATAAACGTCGCCGCCATATTCTTTACTTATCTTGTACTTTTGCATCCAAATACTGTTTATGTTTTAGATGAGATTGTATAAGTATTGCCATTTTAAAGACATGTGACCCTTTGGGTATTTGAAATAAGAATCCAAGCTATTTTATCATTTGAAGATATAGGAACATAAAAATATGGTCATAAAAAGGTAAATGGACATTAAAGCATTCAAAATGTGAATCCAAGCTATGTCAAGGTTTGCAGAGCTTGGAATATGAAACTGCAGTCAAATAAAGGCAAGTGAGCATTTAGGAATCAGATATGTGAATCCAAGCTACTAAGCTATAGTATTGTTCACAGAGCTTGTAATATAAAATTACGATCAAATAAAGGCAAGCGAACCTTTAGGTATTTGGAATGTGCGCACTATCTATTAAATTGTTCACAAAGCTTGGAATATGAAAGTACAGTCATATAAAGGCAAGCGAACCTTTAGGTGTTTGGAATGTGAGCACTATATGTTACATTGGTCACAGAGCTGCGAAGGCAAGCGAACATTTAGATATTTGGAATGTACGTGAGCGCTATCTATTACATTGTTCACAGAGCTTGGAATATTAAAGTACAGTCAGATAAAGGCAAGCGAACCTTTAGGCGTTTGGAATGTGAGCACTATATACATGTGTTACATTGTTCACAGAGCTTGGAAGCCAAGCAAACCTTTAGGTATTTGGAATGTGAGCACTATATATTACATTGTTCACAATGTTTGGAAGCCAAGCAAACCTTTAGGTATTTGGATGTGAGCACTATATATTACATTGTTCACAGAACCTGGAAGCCAAGCAAACATTTAGGTATTTGGAATGTGAGCGCTATCTATTACATTGTTCACAGAGCTTGGAAGCCAAGGAAACATTTAGGTATTTGGAATGTGGGCACTATCTATTACATTGTTCACAGAGCTTGGAATATGTATCAACGTACCTGCTACGGCTGACTGGAAGCCAGCATTATAATCGCACGCCACCTCATTGTTGATATAGTTGCCACGGCTATCTGTGTAGGAATCGCTACCATCAGGTCCCCCAACGAGGGCCCCATATAAGGTGTGTGGGTTTGGTCCTTTCTGTTGCTGTGCTTCCCATGAACATGGCGTTGGCATCATTGGGCATGAGCTAAACCACAGAGAGAGATAAGCTATTTATTGAATGGTTCTGCCAATATATCTTATATCTTATACCGGGAAATGTTCGCCCAGTCAAATTTCCGCCCTTCGCCAGTGAAACCAATTTTGTCCAATGATAATTTCGCCCTCCCCATTTAACGACTACGTTTATTATGCTGTTAACATATGTTCGCTGTAATGATGAATTCACCCCCATTACGGAGGGCGAAAGAGGCGAAAATTAAATTCCCAGTATAAAATATTTTTTTGTACTTTATTGAACCATTTTTCATTTCCTGTCATTCGAAATGGATAACTTCGAATCTCTAAAGCATGTGCAGAATATTATTTCAGTGAAATAGCACCATAAAGTCGGCATCAGATCCGCGCTATCACAAGGAGGCAAGCACACAAACATACCCTGTCTCCTGCATACACACACGCAAGCACGCACACACTACACACATGGAGACACGTCCTTAAATGGCCTTAGCTGTTAATAAGACGTCATATAAAGCAAACCGAACAGGACAAAATGATATGTCTTTTGGAATAAAATTTCAAAGACTACCAGTTCATTTGTTCAAGCGATACGATATTATAAGTTTCGTAATAACGCTTGTTGCAGACAGTTTCAATAAATTTACTGACCCCAAGACTTATTTGATCTAAAAAAAACACTGTCCACTGGGAAATAAGCTTTTTCGCCCTTCCTAATGATGGCAAAATTATCATTACAGCGAATATAAATAAACAACATAACATTCATAATAATAAATGAACACTGGACGAAAAACACTTTTAATGGGCGAAGGGCAAAAGTTTGTCTTGGCCAAAGTTTCCCGGTATGCAACATTTGGAGGTCACTTGAGTTTTCGAAATTATCCATTTGTCGATACCTGAAGTTCAAAAGATCGTCAACTAAATCGTTCAATACTTAAACAATCCACAGGCACGTTATAATGGAATCGTTCGACAATCCAACCATGACTTACCTCCCCCTGTGATGCGGTTGGGTAGGTGGGTTGACCCCAAACCCGACCACGAAACTCCTTCCGGTATCACCGAGGGCATAGTGGATCTGAGACTTCGCCCATGCGCGGTACTCGGGGACATGGATACCCTCATCGGCCGCCAATAAGGCCATGAAAGCCATGTTTGCTTTGAAAAGAAAAAAATGTTTTTAAAACTCAGTCTAAAACTATTTAGTAGACTATGTTTTGATACAATCGAGCAATGACAACACGGGAAACGGAGGTAAATAGTACACCTGGGCCTGTGTTCGTGAAACCGTTCCCATGCTCAAGCTTAGATTTTGTGCTCAAGCCTTATTTCTTGTCCTTATTATAACTTAATAAATAAACAATTTTTGGCAATGATTTAGAAACATTCGGAAGATAGTTTAAGCCATATACTGTTTTCAATGCACGGTTTCATTATTACGTGTCATGTATATGATTTGTTGTGTAATACATTGTTTTATCCTGTGTCAAATTTCTAATTTTCTATTAAATAATGTATTTCTTAACAAATAATTTGTCATTGCAGAATGATGGCAATAAGGAAGGGACAATGAAGAAAAAAGCGAGGTGTTATTTTTATTAACACATGAGTATAAAATTTGTATGTTTACCTATTGTTACAAGCACATGCATTTTATTGTGTGTACGTGAGTGTTGAAATATCCTAATACGTGGCGATTTTTATTAAACAAATAACAGATCAAACATATAAGTCAGCATCTTAGAATAACATTGCAGATGTTTTTGTATGAATATATTAGAATTCAGACAATGATTTAAATGCGAGAGGCCCTTATCAATTTCGACATACTCACATGCGTATCTGAGTGACCCCCACTGTGAGCGGAAAGCGAGTCCCTTTGGGCTGTAAGGAATAGAGCCCCCGGGTAACCAATCGGTAAACGTTGCCTCGATGTTGTCCTTGTACGTTTGTTCTCCGGTGATGTTATAAAGCAGAATCTACGAATACACAACGCAGTATCTACTTACACTAGAAATATATGATGCAAGTCGATGTTACTGTACCGACAACCCGTTCACTTCATGAACTCAATACTCCTTTATTTTATTTTAATTAATACAATAAATGTCAGCACCGATCGCTGTCTTCTTCCTTTCTTTCTTTTGTTTACATTTCTAATTTTATTTTTTCTCGCACTAGGCGACTTTAACATTCACTAAGGAGCGGAAGGGGTAAACATATTGCCCGTCCCTGTAGTATTAGTGAGTTATATTGCGATATGTCTCGGGTTATTTTGACATTTCGACACATTGTTGCTTAAAGAGTTGTCTTCAGTGGTTTAATGCCGAGACACCGGCCATTTGCATTCTTTTCTTGACAAAAGAACAGACGTTTCCGAAAGCTCGCAAAATAAGTTTTCAATTACGGGTTGTTTTCAAAACATATTCACCATTTATAATTTGTACCACACTGATGAGTCAAATCCGAATATGTATACATCTGACTGCCAAAATATATGCTGGTTCCATACTATTTAACACAAAAATATGCATTTTAGGAAATAGGGTTTATTGTGCGACACGTAACGAACCTGACATCCAGCGCCCTTGTCATCCCATGACTGACCCCAGTCCGGTCCGGCCACAGCCGTGTAGTAGGTCTTAGCGTCTGTTAAGTAAGATGTTTTGTTTGTTGCCATATATAGCCACAAAGCTCCCCAGCAAAGCTCGTCTTCATAAGCTGATGATCTTTATACAAAGCACAAGAACATTACTGGAGAAAAGGACTGATTGATTTTTTATCAATTAGCAACGATCTATTAGCACAAAAATCACTTATATGATCAAAGGATAGAGATTTTGTAATAAATCAGTTCATAAGGACTACAATATATTTGCCTACAAATGTATAAGGGTTACGCGCGATATTTCAAACCTCGTTAAGTGCTCCAGAAGATCAGATGCGAAATTTCAACCTCGCCAAAACACATCACTATACAATAGGAAATACAACAGTTTGATCATTGTTTATAGTAGAGTATGTTTAAGGAAATAAATCTCATGTCCCATGAGTAGAGGACAAACGGTTTCACAAGAAGAGGACAACGGCTGCAAGAGGGCATGTGGTCCCACAATTAGAGGGCATGTGGTGCCATCATTAGACGGTATTTGATCCCAATGCAAAAGGGCATGTGATCCCACCATTAGCGGGCATATGATCCCAATATAAGAGGGCATGTGGTCTCACCATTAGAGGGTATATGATCTCAATATAAGAGGGCATGTGGTCCCACCATTAGAGGGCATATGATCCCAATATTAGAGGGCATGTGGTCCCGACATATGAGGTCAGGTAGTCCCACCATAAGAGAGCATGTGGTCACATCATAAAAAACACGGGTGGTCCAACAAGAAAACAAGATAACCCGCTATAAGAGGACTGGTGATGTGATCCCAGAAACAGAGGACGAGGTCACACAACATTTGGATAGCTTGTTCAACTAGAAAGCACAGGTGGTCCATCAACAGAAGGGTAAATTAGTTCAACAACAACAAAAGTGTAAGTAGTTCTACAAATGTACAACAACAACAAAAGGGTAAGTAGTTCTACAAATGTACAACAACAACAAAAGGGTAAGTAGTTCTACAAATGTACAACAACAACAAAAGGGTAAGTAGTTCTACAAATGTACAACAACAACAAAAGGGTAAGTAGTTCTACAAATGTACAACAACAACAAAAGGGTAAGTAGTTCTACAAATGTACAACAACAACAAAAGGGTAAGTAGTTCTACAAATGTACAACAACAACAAAAGGACAGGTAATCAAACAAACGACAGGTAGAGGACAGGCGGTCCCACAACAAGGCGACAAGTGGTCCCTCAAAAAGATGATCGATGACCCAACAAACAGAGGACAGGTAATAAACAAACAATGGGCAGATTACTCACAACAACACGAAATATGGTCACACAACAAGAAGACAGTTTGTTCCTCGAACAAAGGACAGGCGGTCCCACAACAAGAGAACAAGAGGTCCCTCAAGAAGATGAATGGTGGCACCACAAACAGAAGACTGGTGGTTTAAACAAACAAAGGACAAGTGACCCCCAGCAACATGCACGATGACCACGCAAAAAAGAGGATGGTTTGTTTATCAAACAAAGGACATTCGGTCCCACAATAAGAGGGCAAATGAAACCACAGTATTCGGTTCATACAAATTCGCCCCAAATTCGTAAGGTGGATGACCTACCTGTAATAGGCGGCGGCCTGGTTGACACTGTTGCTGTAGATACCTTTGTAAGTTACAGCAAATTTGTAGATCTCTTCGGCATTAGTGAGTAGCTGAGCAGCGAATGTCGGATCTGTGGACGGGAACGTAAGAATTTGTCAAAATGAAGCTTTTAAATTGATATTTTAAGCAAGCAATAAAAAACACATGTTTTCTTCAAATGAAGCCCCTTTAGCAGGAGACATGGACGAAAGCCCTCGATTTTGCTGCCGGATCCACATTAGGCGCCTCTAACTATGCACAAGGCTATTCTTTCCATAAACCTGAAAGGGGCTAAATAGATCATAGTTTGCGTCGTCTCGACTATCTCGAACCAAACCGATTATTGTCGTATTACCTTTATCTTTGAAAACCAAGTAACCAGCAGCCATTGCAGCAGTATACTCGCCAGCTACGTCACTTCCTGGGTTAGTCGCATCGACCTTGAACGCCGGTCTGGCCATTGTCATGTCTTCCGGTCTGCCCCAGAATCCATGATCCTGGCCCCCATCGCCTACCTAAAGTTTTGAGAAAGAAAATAGATTGTTCATGATATGGAGAATTAGAAGCGGGTAAATAACACAAGCTGTAATTATGTTTGACTTAAATGTTATGTTTTTACTTAAATTATATATGAAAGATAACGTAGAAGACCCACAAGTTATTTCACCTGTCAAATTTGGAAATAGATACAACAAACCAAAAAAGCAAAAATACTGCCTAATTAAGGAATAAACAGGAATATCTTTCAGTTTATACCGTATAACCTCAAAAATAAACATGGTTATCAGTAACAATAAAATTTGAAAAGACAGACAATCCTTTTTAATTTATAACAGATGAATCTTCATAAATATTTGATAAAAACAAAAACGTTTGCACAATTTATAACATTGCACAGTAATTTCATCGCCGAGCAACTCCAATCAGAATTTGGAATTATTTAGAATACCGCACTAAACACTGCTGTGTACAACGTCATCACTATATGTTGTGTGTTTTCTAAGTTATACAATATAGCATGAATAGCTAAAATTCAATTATATTAGCAACATGTAAGAAGATGATATTTGACTTACCTGAATATAGAGTTCGTTAGGAGCAGTGTGAGCCTTGATCAGCCATTCCAGAGGCCAACGGATGCAGTCATACATATATTCCGTCTGACCGGCATTTTCGTAGGCGTCAGCATATTGCAGAAATCCCCAGGCCAGCATGGTCACACTGGCAGACATAGGAAGGCCGAATTTCACATGGTCGCCAGCTGTGTATGAGTGATGGTTTAAATTTGTATTCAATTAACATCTCGAATGTTTCTGATATGTATAAATGACATATGACATTAGCTTAGAGTTTTCTGATTTGCGACCGTTTGCAATCGCACAGTCAATCCCTTTGGTGGCTACACCGTTTTTAACACTTGTCATTACACAAGACCAGGGTCCGTATTCATGAAACCGTTCTCATGCTCAAGCATGGATTTCGTACTCAAACCAACTTTCTTGTAATCATATCAAGCAATCAAGAAGTCATATGTAAACATTAAAAAAGTATTTGGATTTAATTTTCAACATTTTTTCCCCAAATGATTGACAGAATTAGATTTTATTAATAATTTATAAACGGAACAAGACATTAGGATTGAGAACATAATCCATGCTTGAGCATGAGAACGGTTTCATTAATACAGGCCCAGAACTTTATTTGGTTAGTTAAAACATGGAACATTCAGACACATGCAGGATATCCGTGATTTGATAAATGCAGCTTTAAGTAACAGATTACCATGTTTGATGTAAAAAAAAAAAGGCCAGTTAACCCCCCCCCCCCCCCCCCCTTTTATAACATTCAAACAATTATTCCTTTTGTTAATGCATTAATATTTAATATCTGCAAAACATTACTGATCATTACATTGTATTAAGTTCAAATTGCTTCACGAAAACTTGAACCTAACAACAAAAGAGGACAACTCATGTCGAGGACGTAATAAATACGTCACTTTAACATACTGTAAAACGATGCTTAAATATTCGGAACCCATTTTGCTTCAGTTCATCGATTAGATCAATGGAAAACAACCGATGAGTTCCAGTCATTAAGGAGTTTAAATGGGGGTAATGCAACATCTTGCATTATCACACTATGAAACCCAGGATCTTGTATTGTACTATTTCACTATAGAAACATACCGTCATACCAGCCTCCTGTGAGATCCTCCCCGTTTGCGCCTTGATCGTTCATGGCCGAGTCCCCTCTCCACGATATGCGGTTATTAGGAGGTAGTTTCCCAGACCGCTGGGCCTCGTAGAATAGGATGGACTTCTCCAGAACCTCATCATAGTTGTATTTAGCTCCGGGCACTTCAATTTACATTCATTCAAATTAGAGACATATTTCACAATTGAAAAAATGTGCAATCATAGCTTTCAATATCACCGTTAAGGACATACAGAGAGTTAGTTATCGTACCTGTTGGAGCTGGGGGCACAGTCTGTCCATCATGTGCCATGTTGACGAGGGTTCCTTTTGCAGTAGGCGGTGCACTTCCGGAATAAGCTGCCTGGACGGTGATGGACAGTGTTTGACCGACGTGCTGAATGCCCGTGTGAGGTTTACTGACCAGCACGTACTCTGTGTTATCATTTGCTGTCTTAATGATATCTCCCATCCATTCCTGCCAAAACATTAGAAATAGAACATTTTAGCAACCATTGGACACGCAAACCCTCGCAAATATTACAAAAAGCGATCAGGAACAGAAAACGTCTTCAAAGATGAAAATGAACAAGGCTGTTTTTGAAGTACAAATGCTTTTAACTCAGAATCATCTCGATGACAAATATTAAACAGAAAAAAAGCATGACATCAACTTGGAATATCATTACATGAAGCAGTATCCTAAATTAGCACCATTTTTCTAGAGGACACTTCGAAATTTATTGTCACTTCAGATGCTACCTTTATGACAAACGCATGAGAAAGACAGTGAATGGCAGTGATACTAAGAGTAGCGTATTATTAGCCGACCGTTAGCATCGGTTGCTATATAACGTAGCAACATATGTATAAAGCAACAAGCTAGGTTGGTATCTATTGAAATATGCCTTCAACTGATTGTACGAATATTTCAAAACGTTAATAGGTTGACTATTCCGTCTTTGCGTATTGCAGAGTTATCTTCTCTTCAGAGCAGGTATTGATTGTTACGTCATTTGTTTGTGAGAGTAACGTCATCAATGTTTGAGAAACCGACGTAATTTTATCACACAAACCAAAGACGTAACAATCAATACCTGCTCTCAAGAGAAGATAACTCTGCAATACGCAAAGACGGAATACCATTTTTACAAGGACATTGCTATTATATAAGGTGTACCTGTTCGTGTAAACTAAAGTGATACAACCACTGATGAGCTGAAAGCCCGTACCTTCAGTTACGGGTGTTCCAAAATGGATACCGCCGTTATAAACTATCTCGGCAATTGCTTTGTGACCGCATGTTAAATACGTGAGTACATGTATTTTATGAGGAATACCTGTCTGATATATTGATTTATACGTGCAATATGGTGGTCGGGTGGTGCAGTGGATAGCGCAGTTGCCTTTCACCAAGGCGACCGGGGTTCGATTCCCCGATCGGACGTGAAAAGGTATGGGGTCACCTGCCCGATCACGTGGGTTTTCTCCGGGTACTCCGGTTTCCTCCAACATATAGACCCCCCGCGCGCTAACATCCGGGCCAACAAGAGTGATTAATATAAGATGAATAACTTGTTTCATATCTGTTATAAACTAAATAAAGTTTATATTATATATGTGCAATGCTATTTTATGTAGATGCGTTTTACAATGCTCATCAAATGGGACTTTCTTTGAGCATTTAATTGAAGCGGATGCAATGGCAGGTGACGAAGACACAGAAACTCAGAAAACAGGATGGAAAGTACATGTATAATGACCCTAGAGTTAGTTTTTCAGACCAATACTTACTGTTAACCCTGTTACCGGTTCATCGAAGTGGAGAATGACCTCCCAGCCCGCTACCTCTTCAGGGATATTGAAGACAAACTTGCCCTCGAACCTTCCTCCCCAATCATTGACGGCACTCATCGGCACCTCCAATGCTTCATTGCCAATCACCAGAAAGGCAGCTAGTACCAGAAATGAAACGGCGGCCATATTGCCTTCCTGTAATATGCAAAAGCAATAACGTCCATCGACACAAGGACATATAGGGCTACACCACAGAAAGGGCTAACAATAATGCTCGAAAAACAAATCGAACTTAACTATGGTAGTATGTTATATAAAACTATAAAATAAAGTAAATTTAAATGATTCTATAAAGTGTTGTGGATATAGAAGTCAGGTGCTCTAAGCATGATGTAGAGATTTTGCAAATTGGAAACGATCATGCGCAAACATTGTTCTTGTTCAAAATGTTTTATTTTAGCAAAAATATTTCCAGTTAAAAATACTAATAACAAAATCGTGAAAATACATAATCAGTCAACATAACAAACAAAACAAGCAATTCGCAGTCAAAACAAACAAAAACATTTCAGAGAATAGACAAATAACAAATGAACATCAAACCATGTACAGGTAACAGTAAATAATATAACACCAACCCAATCTACGACAAACCATGTGACGCCAACAAAATTTAGGACATACCATTTGACGGCAAATCATGTGACAATTACACATGACGACAAAACAAATGTACGGCAAATCATGTGACACCAACAAATGTACGAAAAATCATGTGACACCAACAAATGTACGAAAAATCATGTGACACCAACAAATGTACGACAAATCATGTTACACCAACAAATGTACGACAAATCATGTGACACCAACAAATGTACGATAAATCATGTGACACACACAAATGTACGAAAAATCATGTGACACCAACAAATGTACGACAAATCATGTGACACCAACAAATGTACGACAAATCACATGACATCAAATAAATGTTCGACAAACTATTGACACTAAAATCATGTTATAACAACAAATAAAAATTAGTCACACACAGTATGAAGCATTCACATTGAAACTTACATTAATGCGCATGACACATTGCTATTTATTTAAATATTCCTCAATAAATCAACATTTAGTTATTTGTACTTTAAGAAAGGATTTCGTGAAACGTTATTGCAAGGCAATTAAGATGTGTGATACCCACAGTTGTCAGCAACATTGCAGCTATAGAAAGATAACTTTTTCTGAAATATTAACGATAAGTGGATTACCTCTGCAGGTCCCCTCGTTTACACTACAGCCTATAACTGGATAAACTACCGGTCTGGTCTCCTTATCAGGATAGGCCACAATACAGGTCAAGGAGTTACTACCACCAGGGTCCAGTTAAATAGGTGGAATGGTTACTTAAGTGCATGTGTCCTGATATAGATAGTAATCGTAGTTGTCCATGTACATGTCCATTTGAGAGTATCTGTCTGTCTTATGAAATTATGACGAAATGTTGATTGACTGCCAAAAATATGTATTCATTGAAGTTGACACCGTTGTAAGCGTTGAATCTCTTCTTGAGGTCCTCTAAATCCAATCCTGTCAACTTCCGGTTGCGTTTTGAGGCATTTTGAGTTGACATTCAATACTCCAAAATATAGCAAACAACTCTAATGAATTGACATGAAATTTCAATGCGTCTAACCCTTTGACAAAATTTACAATATTAGTTTAAAACATTATATTGGAGTTCGTTATAACTTAAGTAATCAATGTACTTTATTGTGAATTATTATCAAGTTTCTGAAAACTGCAAACATTTTGTCATGATTTTTAGCATTATATTTTATTTTGTCTAAGAAGATTCCCTGAAAAGAACTTAGTTCGTTCGCGTCAGTGTAAAAGGTGTAGCATTTATAATCTGGTAATGTGATGTTATAACCAATAGAAAATCTGTCCAGCTCCTCTCAAAGTCGAACGTAAGACCTGCACATCAGAATGCAATTATATAAATTGGTGATTGATAATCCACCAAATATTACTCTGTGGCTTGCGTCCGTTTAGAATGTACAATGAACATATATTGTGAAATCATATGTTATGAACACGAGCCTGAAAACACGAGAAAACATAAATGCAGTTAAAGTAATGAAAGGGAGAGCTCGTTAAGTTCAGGAAGATTCGTGAAATGGGGCTTGCGTGTACGATCAAAATATGTTCACAACTATTAAGTAGTGAAATTCATGAAAAAATGGCATTAATTTATTAATGGTTTTGGTATCATGGTATTTTTACAGTATTTAGGTTTTCATCAGTTGCTGATTTGAAGTATATGGAAATGTGAAGACCCCTGCTAAGAATATGAAAACAACGATCGTGGCGTCTTATCAAATATTTCAGGTGACCTATTTTCAGGTAGATCTCGATGCAAATATTTCGTCTACGATCTAATCTTCTCGTGTGGGTCTCTCTCGCTATTAAAATGAGCATTACATTCCCTTTCTTCCATGTAAATACAGTGTGATTCCCAACATACAAAGTCGGGTATATTGATGACGTCAACACCGATTTATACCTGACGGTTTGAGCTGATGAGCAACGCCACGAATAGCAATGTTTAATCTTAAATAAACCTACCTTGTAAATAAATGTTAAAACGCCCGGTTCAACCAAGTACAGTATTAATTTTGCATAACATCGTTTTGAACAAATTACAGTGTTGCGTTGCCCTTTATTTTTACAGGCGTTAAACTGATTAAAGAATTTTTGGCTTTATCAGCTATGCATACAGTGGAATACATCTTCTGTTCAAGCAACAAGTTAATAAAGACTAATAACCCTGTATGGTCCTGTACTGTGACCTGCTTATACATTGAATCACGTGGCATCAAGGTCATACAAACAAGACGATGTGTGTCGCCGGAGCAGACCCACTTTATTTGAAATTTCCACTTTATTTCAGTTTAAGAGAATGAACAGTTGTATTCATATAAAACAAAGAACACATGTGACTCATAAACTAAGCTTTCTGGTTGTGCATTTGAGTGTCTATCCTTCGAAAAGAAAATACCTTTAATTTTCACATTTGACTTGATTTCTCCTTCCCTTTAACTCATTCACCCCTGAAGACAAATTTGAACTCTTCCAATTCAATGGATGGAATAGTTCATTATGAAACTTCAGGGGTGAATGAGTTAATGAAATATGCCTTCCTCTGCACGCCACTGTGACTACATTCATTGCGGTCCAGATTTAAATAAAGTCAACAATCGATTTTAATATCAAGTTTTTTTCTACTGATTGTTTTTCTTATCATACCACAATTTATATATTTCCATCATTATTTTTAATTTCAATCCATTGACTCTTGTGCCTTCTATGTCATGCACTATTTAAATGTATAATGATAACTAGAGGGCGATGCCAATATTTTAATACTAGTGTACGTAAACAAAGGACTTTACATTATTTGGACAACTTGTGCCCAATCCCTTTTGTATATTAGATGCAAATAAAAATATGTTTAAATCAAATCAAACAAAAGACATCATCATTTATTACATACTTACTGATAAATACTGTGGGGTTTTTTTTGACAAACTAAAAAGTCACTATTTTTCCAACCTTTCGGGCTTAGCCCTTCGTCAGGGATTAAATGTCACGTGACCTCTACGTCACATCTATCTTGACAAACAGGATGAGTAACTGGGTTTTTGTATATGCGATACGACACAATTGCTCAAACCCGTATCAGCCCTCGCCGTATCACATCACAAAACCCGTATCAGCATGGAAAAAGTTTCGTTTTTCAATATTTCAAAAGAAAAATAGATCAAAAGATAGTATATCTATCCGTATTTTATTGGTAAGTATGTAATAAACAGAATAAAACATGCCTTTTCGGCTGATATTTGAGTCTCGGGTTGCTACTAGGTGTATTATGGAAAAAGGCATGTATTATAGGGTAGAGCACTTGATTTGTTAATAGGTAAATCTAAATCAATGGGAGGCTTGCCATATAAAACCTTCACAAAACCGTATGAGAGTACAGTGTGACCAGTAATTAGTTACGGTGCTGCTATATGGGGCACATGTACATTTAGTAGTTTTGTGGCTATTCAAAATAGCGCATGTAGATTTTATCTAGGCCTTGGTCGCTATGCACCTAACGTAGCTGTTAGCGGGGACATGGGTTGGACTCCAGTAATAGTGAACCAATGGCAAGCTGTTTTTAGACATTTGAGTCGTCGTCATAATATATCGGATAATAGATTGAATAAGGCAGTATTTGCATGGAGTGAGCATATAGGTAACCACCTTAAAAAAAATGGAACTTCAGGGTAATTTGCAGACTCACGGAGCTAGGCTTGGATAACTATAGCAAAGGTCCAATTAATAGTAAAAAAATACTTAAGGACGCTAAGGTCCGTGGCTTGGAATTGTTTATTGAAAATTGGAAAAGGGAACTTAACCGTCCCGGAGCCAAAAATTGTATTTCTGGAGGTAACAAACTACGTACGTACAGATTATTTAAGTTTAATTATGAGGTAAAAAAAAAAAAAAAGTTTTTTTAGTAATGTCTAAATCGCATCGTAGTGCGCTAGCTAAGTTTAGGTGTGTGGTTCATTCGGCTAACCTCGGCCGATTCCGGTTCCCTTCATCTAGGTACGGAATCTGCCGAGATGTGACGAGTGGTGTGGGGTTGCACCGATACGCATCGAAACAGGCCGGTAAGAGAGAATACCTTTGACCGAAAGAAAGTGTTTCGCGTGTCAAAGCCTGGTAGAAACAGAGAGACATGTTTTAATAAAATGTAACTTGTATGATGATCTCCGTTCAGGCCTATTGAAGGAGGCTAGTAAAATCACAAATGATTTTTACAATATGAGTAAAGAGGAAAAGTTAGTTGTAATTCTAAGCAACACTTACTTGGCGAGGTCCTGTGCCAAAACCTGTGTTAATATTCTCAATCGACGACGCAACTTGATCTATAATTAAACAGTAATGTGTCTTTTAATGTCAATTGTTTTTATAGTTTTATATTGGCAAATTGTTTTTAATTCATAAGTATGTATATATATGTAATACTTTTACAGTCTAGAATGATAGGAGAAGAGTAAGTGTCTCGTAAGTCTAATATAGACTGGATGTAAGGGTGACACTATAATAAACTAATTTGAATTGAATTGAATTGAATTGAACTGAATTATTCTCTATGTGTTGCAAGCCGACAAAACATGAAATGCATTGTACCTGAAATAGATCTCTCATAGACTTAAGAAGATATTTCGAAAACAAATGTGTAAGATATGTAAGAAACAAATGGAAGATCTTATATATATAGTCCTTATTGTTCGAAATATCTATATAACATTTCAAGACATCAACGTATCGTTAATTCATTTCAAGACATATTTATTAAACTTAAATAAAGATACTTTAACTATCATTAGATTATCCAGACCGTTGCGTGGACGATAAACCACGATCAAACCATGATCAAGAATAAATAAATAAATCGACACTGTCTGAAATATACCTTTTTTTATTGTTAATAAGATAGAAACAGTTAAAATCTAGGCTAGTTGTCCAGTTAATGAGAGATGCTTCAGACCTGCAAATGAAATGAAGACAATCAGAATATGAATTTAATAGTAGTTAACGCTAATTGTTCTTATCATGATCAATGCCGCGGAAAGCTCGAAACTGACAGTTTTGCATATACAGAAAAAGATATGGGGGGCATTCAAAGACATGTTTTTTTGTACAATTTTTGATTGATGTGTGTGCAATAATCCTGTAAAATAATTATGAAAAAAAAAGTTTATATTTTTTCATTGTAAAATTATTTTTTGCATAAGCAACTTTTTTGGCAATTTCGAAGCACTTGCCCCACCATACTTAATAGGCCATCAGGGAGTGTACGGACCTGCTACAGCTGACTGGAAGCCCGCGTTATAATCACAGGCCACTTCGTTCTGTTTGTAATCCTGTCTGTCGTCTATATAACTACCCTCCTGGCTCGGCCCGCCCACAAGTCCGCCGTATACCGTGTGGGGGCTTGACTCCGGCCTGGTCAGCGCCTCAAAAGAGCATGGTGCTGGCATCGATGGGCAGGAACTGCACCAACAGGAAGTGGGTTGTAGACAGTTACAAATTAATAATAGAACTAATTAATTCATCGCTTGAAAGATATTGCTTCCCTTACAACGCATTACATTGTTATAAGCTGGTTGTGTGTTTTTGTTATCAATATGACTTTTACGTTTTTATGGTTAAGAGTGTATATTTTGCTGTAAATTTATTTTAAAAAAAAAATCGACGTGAATGTAATACGGGAGCTAGAAACACCGCGAAACCAAAAAGCATTAGTTATTAGTCTAGTGCGAGAGTTTAAATTGTAACCTGCGGATTTGCCCCAAAAGCAAAGGATGAGTGTCTATAAATAAGGCCTTTTTTGGGCCCGGTATATTCGGATTATGCCCTCCTTAATTTGTTCAAAGTTGTCCTATTGTATTACATGCACAAAAACTAAGGTATAAGTTCGACCGAAAGTGAGTTTGGGATTACCAAAAGGGGTAGGGTAAATCACAAATATAATTTTCTGCTTTCAAAATGAGTTTAAAAATCAAAAAAGTTCCATTTCTGGTTTTGAAAACATGCGTAAACCAAACAGGCATATATAAAAGAATGAAAAATTCAATCGTCACTGTAAATCATTTATAAAAAACAGAGGATTCAATTTACTTATTTGAGCACACTTATATATAACGCATATTTACTACACACTTTCCTTTTGTTTTATACTGAGTTATGGCCTCTGGACACATCTCAAACTTGACAATTTCAAATACCTCTCTATCTTAAGTGAATTAAAAGTTGCAGTGAGCACTTTATATGCTTTAAGTATATGATAGTAACAGTTAATATTGTATATCATATATATCATATAATATGTGTTCACCACCTGTGGCTGAAGTGAGTTCCAGGTCCTGATTTGTTTTCTTACTTATTAAAGTTATCTTACAAATAAAAAAAATGGCATTTGCCACCACAACCACAGTAAAATGATAAATTTAATATATAAAGATTGATTTGCTGGTAATTTTAAGTCTCCTAGCTTCAAAAAAAGCATCTGTTTTAAACGTTTAAGTTAACCCATTTCATTGTTTTATCAATTGTAGTGCCTATTTCCAATGTTTATGCACTGATTGTAGATATGGGGCATTTTTGGATAGGCACGCAACTTGGCACAGATATTGGTTATATAGTTGTTTTACTTAAAAAAACACTTTTTCTTTTGTTTAGGACTACAAATCCAAAGTGCATCTCCTTGCTCAACAACAAATAATCCATAGCAACCACCTATACTCATTCTCTCTCCCACCATCACTCTCCCCCACACACTACCTCCCGCAATATCTCACTCTCCCCACACACACACTCTCCCAAAATCTCTCACTCTCACTCACCGTGAAACCGCTCATGCAGTTGAAAGTGTAGTCGCTTCACGACAAAATCGAAGCTTAAAGGCCAATCAGGGGTTAGGGGAGCTTTGATTGCACATCAGCGCACAGTTTGGCACTTCCGTGTTTGAAATAACATCAGCAAGGCTAGGAAATCGTACAGTTTTTATATAAAATAATATCTTTCTTCGCAGGTGTGCAGTTTATATAACATTAAATATAATACTACAACAATATTCTAACTCTCGATCATTTGAGAGGGAGACATTTTAGTGCGTTCTGAACAATTGCATATAAATTATGATTTGAAATGGGAAAGAAAAACATCAAAATACGATATATTTTGGCTAATTCCAAGTTGAGTAAAATGGTAGGTAACTCTTTATTGTTTAATTCTATATCAGGTAGACCAATTACAGTTAATCCCTGCCGACTACCGCTAATAATCCCTGTAAGTATCGCTACCAGTATTGATAACTACTCAGATCAACGGTCTACCGACTATCTCCTAAAATGTATTATTTTATTGATGAAGATCGCTTTATAGACTGCATAGTCTATGCGTAAATGGAACATGTGCCCCTACCCCACCCATTGTCACTTCAACACCACCAAGATTTACGTTGGGGTTCAATATATCCACCGTGTCTTGGAAACAATTGAGATCTCAACAATTTAACCCTACTAAGTTTGGTTTAAAAACGTAATTCTAGCACCCCTGGGGCTGAGGTGATATGCCAAAAAGGGGAAGCTGGCAGATAAATATTAGAAAGCCTACTCCTCTAGACCACTCTGAGGCATTAATGGGATCAGAAATTATGTATAAGGACGGTATAAACTGTCGTAAAATTTGTACTGTGTATAATATGTAATAATATTTGTACAATGTGTACTGGGACTGAAGCACAATCTTTCCTTTCTTATGAATGTATAGCTACTACAGGGGTCTGTATGCACGATACTTGCATCCCCTATAGTACATAGCTATTAGCTACCACAGATGACTTGTATATTTGCCTCCGCTACCACAGGACACTGTAGCACACTCGTTGTCTCCTCTATAGTATAACCATTGTCTCATGTATAGTTTATAGCTATAACAGGGGACTGTAACACGATCCTTGCCTCCCCTAGCGTATATGTATAACTACCACAGGGGACTGTAACACTATCATTGCCTCCCCTAGAGTATAAATATAGCTACAGCAGGGGACTGTAACATGATCATTGCCTCCCCTAAAGTATAAATATAACTACCACAGGGGACTGTAACACTATCATTGCCTCCCCTATAGTATAAATATAACTACCACAGGGGACTGTAGCACGATCATTGCCTCCCCTAGAGTATAAATATAGCTACAACAGGGGACTGTAACACTACCAATGCCTCCCCTAGAGTATAAATATAACTACCACAGGGGACTGTAACACGATCATTGCCTCCCTTAGAGTATAAATATAACTACCACAGGGGACTGAGGCACGATCATTGCCTCCCCTATAGTATATATATAACTACCACATGGGACTGTAGCACTATAATTGCCTCCCCTATAGTATATATATAACTACCACAGGGGACTGTAGCACGATCATTGCCTCACCTAGCGTATAAATATAGCTACAACAGGGGACTGTAACACTACCAATGCCTCCCCTAGAGTATAAATATAACTACCACAGGGGACTGTAACATTATCATTGCCTCCCCTAGAGTATAAATATAGCTACCACAGGGGACTGTAGCACGATCATTGCCTCCCCTAGAGTATAAATATAGCTACCACAGGGGACTGTAGCACGATCATTGCCTCCCCTAGAGTATAAATATAGCCACAGCAGGGGACTGTAACACGATCATTGACTCCCCTAAAGTATAAATATAACTACCACAGGGGACTGTAACACGATCATTGCCTCCCCTATAATATAAATATAACTACCACAGGGGACTGTAGCACGATCATTGCCTCCCCTAGCGTATAAATATAGCTACAACAGGGGACTGTAACACTATCAATGCCTCCCCTAGAGTATAAATATAACTACCACAGGGGACTGTAACACGATCATTGCCTCCCCTAGAGTATAAATATAGCTACAACAGGGGACTGTTACAATATAATTGCCTCCCCTAGAGTATAAATATAACTACCACAGGGGACTGTAGCACGATCATTGCCGCCCAAGAGTATATATATAACTACCTCATGGGACTGTAGCACGATCATTGCCTCCCCTAGAGTATAAATATAACTACCACAGGAGACTGTAGCACGATCATTGCCTCCCCTATAGTATAAATATATCTACCACAGGGGACTGTAGCACGATCATTGCCTCCCAAGAGTATATATATAACTACCACAGGGGACTGTAGCTTGATCAGTGCCCCCCGCAAGTACATATTTCACTATTACAGGGGACAGTAGCACTATATTTGCCTCCCCTAGAGTATATAGCTACCACAGGGGACTGCAGCACGGTCTTTACCTCCCCTTTCAGTGTATAGCGACCACAAGGGAACGGTACCCGATCCTTGCCTCCCCTATTAGTGTATATCTACCACAAGGGAACGGTACCAGATCCTTGCCTTCCTTTTAGTTTATAGCTACCACAGAGGACTCTAGCAAGATCCTTGCCTCCCTTATAGTAGGGAACTGTTGCACGAGCTAGCAGGAGACTGTATTACGATCCTTACTGACAGACGTAATGACGGACGATTGGGGATAATCATGATCGTTTCTTTAGGATCGTACCTATCTAGATGTACACTATGTACAATGATAGAATACTAAAAAATGTCAAATATTTACACAAAAAATATAAAAAGAATGTATTTCTAACATAAAATAATATCAACAGCGATGTTCATGTATTGATATTTAAAACGTCACAGTGTCTTGGATAATTTCTTATTTTTGGCCAGTGCCCGAATGTTGAGTTGTTTTTATAAACAGCGCGGAGTTGGGACGACAACTGAATAATAGATGACCGAGAGCTGTGTTTATGAGCCATTTTACATTACTTCCTTGTGAGAAATTGCGGGGTAAGGTTATTTAATTTTTTTTACATTAATATAGCTCTCTGAAATCTTATTGAATTACTATTTCGACAGTTCATTGAGCTATTTATTTTTTCTCTCCATATTTTACCATAATGTTGACCATATTTTCCCGTTTTGGTACGGTACCATGATCATTCAAGAACACCGCTCGTTGTTTATTGCGTCTTACTCTTCTCTTTTTATCAGTGCATGTATATTTGCATGAATATCGATATCTAACACAGAGAATTTTGCGAAACCAATCACAAAATGCAATAATGATATAGTATGTGCTACGTGTCTCAATCAACAGAAAAGAAATATGTTGATAGATGTAAATCAGGACTTATTATGAACAATCAAAATATTAATATGGAGACCCTTGAAAGTAGAACAAGAAGAGGACCAGGTATTCCGGAAGGGTAAGCGTCCCCTGCTTCCATAAACGACACCCGCCATGTAAATCTAGGTCAAATCACAAGTATCTGCTTCTAAAATGAATACATGTAAATGGATTTACTATATCTTCTCCGTTTTCGGGGCAGATACTCTTTTCAAGGCAGAGTAATGAGAATTTGAAAAAAACGTTGATAAAAGCACCCCCTGACTTAATCCTCTGTTTTTTTTATGAACGATCTTTAAGTGACGAATATATGCCTGTTTAGTGTACACATGTTTTCAAAAACAGAAATTCCATTTTTGGTTTTTAAGCTCATTTTGAAAACAGCAAATTATATTTGTGATTTACCCTACCCCTTTTGGTACCCCCAAAAACTCACTTTCGGTCAAACTTTTACCTTAGTCTTTGCGCATGTAATACAAAAGGACATCTTTGAACACATCAAGGAGGGCAAATATACAGTGGCCAAAAAAAGGGCCTTAAAAACACTCATCCTTTGTGTTTCTATAGCGTTTTAACTGACTGCAGGTAAAGTCACATTGCAAAAATGTAATATGCATGAAATATAGAGGAACAGATTATTATTAGCTTGAATTTGGAACTAGACTGTAAATTGAGATACAGGACCTACAAGTCGTTTACCAGGGATAACTAAGAGAACTGGTCAAGAGACGTTTTGTTATGGACACGCAGAGACGTTTTGTTATGGACACGCGATAGTACCTAATTAGAACACGTTTATCCTGAGAATCGAATCTCAGACTTTCGTGTTGAAGGTCAAATTGACATAACTAATACTGACCTTGCCCTGTGGTGAGGATGACTGGGCGGGTTAACGCCAAAACCAACCACAAAACTCCTTCCGGTGTCTCCCAGAGCGATATGGATCTGAGACTTCGCCCATGCGCGGTATGCGTCGCTATTTATTCCATGCTCAGCAGCTACCAAAGCTACGAACGCCATATTGGCTGCAAGGAAAATACGAAAATGTCTCTTATTTTCGTACAATTTCAAGAGTTTCCTTCATTATACATAGTGTACCTTATGTCTGGGAAATCCCTTGTTTATATCTAGCTGCGGAGTATTTGTCCAAGATGTCCCTTTTTCACATAATCATAAAGCTACCAATTACCTGCACGAACATGTCTAGTCCTTGTTTCTTCATTTGGTACGTAATATTATTATATATCTTGGGGACGCCAATGTTTCTATACAAAGCTACGTACTAACGTGGCAGGTTTTAATAGTGTAACTTCGCGCTAGGTAGCGGGTCCCTTTAGCTCAATGGTTAGAGCAGCGGACTAGAATGCTGGAGTCGCTGGTTTGATCCCCGACGAAAGCATATTACTATTATAAATATTGCATCAACATTTCAATATATTTAGTATAATACAAGGTACTGCTTGCCAGAGTCCCCCATTCGCTGCTGTATATAGCTACGTAGCGGCATGCCTGATAGATCCCATTCCGTTACTAAATATAGCTACCTACCGGCATGCCTGAGAGATCGAATTCCGTTACTAAATATAGCTACCTACCGGCATGCCTGAGAGATCCACTTCCGTTATTAAATATAGCTACCTACCGGCATGCCTGAGAGATCCACTTCCGTTACTAAATATAGATACCTACCGGCATGCCTGACATATTCCTTCCCTAATTATATATAGCTACGTTTACGTACCAGCATGCCTGAGAGATCCCCATTGGTCGCGGAAGGCTAGGCCACTTTTGAAGTAGGGGAGACTTCCTCCGGGCATCCAATCCGTGAATGTGCCTGTAATATCAGCCTTATACTTGTCTTCTCCGGTGACATTGTACAGTAATACCTGTAACATGAAAGAAAGGTATACACCACGCGATAGAACGACAATTATTTATTAAACGCCAAACCTCTCTATATAAAAAATATACCTGACCTTACTCACAGTATCTTGTAAGACCTACACACGGGCCGTGACATACACCAAAGGTATCAAAAGTGATAAATTTAAGGGTAAAGGCAACATGTGACCGATTGGAATAGTGAGCTTGGTGATTTTGGCATGATATGTCAATGAGGTAGCACTCTAAAGTCGGCATCCGCTCAGCGCTATCGAAAGGAGACAAATACACCAACATACGGCCAACAAAAACACCACCATACGGCAAACAAATACACCAACAAGCGGCCTCCTGTACACACGCACACATTACACGTGTCCTTAAATGACCACGGCTGTTGATAGGACGTTAAACAAAATAAAATAAAAACCGAATTCCCAGCGTCTCGCCTTACCTTACAACCTATATCCTTGTTACCCCAGGACTGTCCCCAGCTAGTTCCCGGATGGTGATATTTCTTGGAATCTGTCAGGAATTTCTCCTCACCTGTGGCCAAATACAGCCACGCCCCTCCCCAGCACATTTCGTCATCGTAGTCCGAAGACCTACAGAAGGAAGAATTGACGCTCACACGGAGCTTCGGAAGGTAGGGAAATGTGACCATTTAAATATGTATTGTAGAACCTCTATGATATAAAGAAATTACTTCATATCCTTTATCACTGTTCCTTTACTTCAAATAAAATGTGGTTATGTGTAATGTAACTTGGGGATTGGGGTAAAGGGGATGGAGGGCTAACATAGAGTTTCAGTTCTCTGCCGTTTTAGAGTCATAACTTCAATTACTCGTAGCGTTATTTATTGATTGAATTTGGAAATGTATTAAACGGCATTTGTTTTCTTCAGATATTTAACTGCATGAATTTATACAGTTTACACTAAGGTACAGTAAGGCACAGTACAACAGAAGTATATCTTAATCAGAGTTTCCACGTAGCTCGGCCAAAAGGCTTTTGGGGAAAATCATCTTCAGTGCGCAGACTTGCATATATTTTTTTTTTATTAAATCCAACCATGAACGTATTGCTAAATATCTACAAAATCATAATATCAAAATTACGATCAGAAAGTATGTTATACAAGAATAAGGTTTGCAACCCTAGAGCGGTGTTGATTAAAGGGGCGGGTTCGATTACAAATAGTGTTTTGGTAGCCACTAATGGGGCGCATTCGATTACAAATAGTGTTTTGGTAGCCACTAATGGGGCGCATTCGATTTGAACATCCATTGTCGTGACAAAAGAGTGATGTTCGAATTCAAGAAATGGCAGTAATTGAATTTGTGATATCTCACCCATAAGCAGCACCAGCCGACTGAGGGAGACTTTTACTGTAGGTACCATTGTACTGCAGCGCAAAGGCGTAGATCTCTCTGGCATGTCTAAGGAGGTCGGCCGCAAATTGTGGATCTAAAGCAACATATTTTGGCCATTAGTTGTGAATAAATATCTTCATTTTTTAATTATTTGTTGGATTATTTTTAATTTATCTATTTATTCATTTATTTGCTGCTTTTGATTACTCTCGTTTGTGATGCGCCTGTTTAAAGTATCAGAAATATACAGGATCTTAGATAATGTATTGCCATATTGCCATATCCCAAATTCTAACACTTGAAACTGCTTTCAAGTTGTATAAATATATTAGTTCACTGCTGTAAAATGTTAAAACGTATCCCATCTGCTATGTTAACATGTCTCGTATATCTTCCTGAAAACTCACCCTTGTCCTTAAACGCAATATAACTTGCCGCCATAGCTGCAGCGAACTCGCCAGCTACGTCACTTCCGGGCTTTTCAGCAGTTATCTTATAGGCTGGTCGTGCCATTTTCATATCTTCCGGTCTTCCCCAGAAGTGGTGATCAAGGTCAACATCCCCGACCTGCAGGAGGTCAACAGACAAACGTGAAGAAACGTTCTAGCTGTGAACAATAGCTTATAAACGCATGTTAGGACTGAGACACAATTCCATCCAAACAGTTCCATTCAAACATATCCCCCTACATATACGCTAACAAAGATTGAGATGAAGGGATCGCAACCCGAGGGGAAAGAGTCATAAGTTGCCAAACATAAAACCCTTAAAACAATCTTCCACGAGAAAAAGAAAAAAAAAACATCATAAAGACAAGGAGATTGCGTTTATTAACATGTTTCGCATGTCATGTCTGAGGTAATACAAGGGTACCTCAGGCAAGGGAAAATGTGGATACCCCCGCGTTATGAATTTGAAGGGAAAAAGCTCAACAAAGCCTTATATTTTTTATTCCAAATCCATAAAAAACATAAGTAAGCAACAGCAAAATCCTGCAAATCTAATGTAAAATGTGAGGACGAATGATGCTTTACAAAGTTTTGCCTTACACAGACAAAAGCAAATATCCTTAACTAAGAATTTTCGTCAATTACGACGACTGGCCAACGTTTAATTGGCCTTGGTAGTAAGGTCGCTTATCAAAAGTAAAATAAACACTTTTCTTCAACCAAGACAAGCGCTAGTAGGGAATGAATCATCAAGCCCTCCATACAGTGGACAAAGTGTAACAAGCGTCCCACTGACCTGAACATATAGCTCGTTAGGACCCGTATGTGCTTTCATCATCCACTCCAGGGGCCATCGGATACTGTCGTACATATTGTCCAGTTGCCCGGCACCAACATAAGCGTCCTTAAACTCGACGAGACCCCATGCCAACATTGACACACTGCTAGCTAGAGGCAACGCGAATTTTATGTGATCACCCGCTGAAATATACATAATGTATATATAGTATAACAAAGGACATCGTAGATGCAATTAACTAAGTACGGAACTTTTTTACGAGGACTAATTACACGAATCACCAAAAGGATATTTGTGTAATGCCAAAAGATAGATATATATATATAACAACTTCTTAGGATAAGTAAATTGTTTAACATACGACACAGGAAAGTATTATTTGGGTTAAGAAACGGTAAACAGTTAATATCATAACTTAATGAATTTCCCTTAGTTGAGGTACGTTCGTGAAACTGAAGCAAGAACACCAAATCTTATTTGTTGGGCTTTGTTTTTGTGAATGTGTCTCCAAGCGAGACCGCCGATCTGTTTCCGACTTTAGAGTGCTACTTCATTTACATGCCATGCCGAAGGCACTCGGCACTGTATCCTATGGCCACCTGGTCACATTATACTGACATCGGGAGAACAAACGTTTAGCAACTACCATTTTAAGGAATTTGGTATGTCCTGGCATGGGGACAGAACCCAATGCCTTCCTCACCTGGGCAAACGTTTAACACTAAGGTCAGGTATTGCCAAGCAAGGCGTTAGGAAACAAAAATATTATTAAGAAGTAGAGAGAAAATCTAAAGATCCTAAATGTCGCAATGGGTGCATTACATTTATTTTGGTCTCTGTTGTGTCTCCAATTAGAGGGCACAAAAGCAAATCCTCAATTCCGAAGGGGCTTCACACATAAGTTGCCTCTCACAACATGCATTGGGCAACAGCAGGGTTATACTTTTCCCAATCCCAGATATGTAGGGGTGATAACTTATTGTTTTCAATTTACATAAATATGATTTGTATTAACAATTTAGTAGTGTACAACACTAGATGTTCAATGACATTATCTTTACCAATATTAACGGATGTGACGTCACAATAAACCTACCGTCAAACCAGCCCCCTGTGAGATCCTCCCCATTCTGCCCTCGGTCGTTCATGGCCGAGTCCCCTCTCCACGGTATACGGTTTGTGGGAGGCAGTTTCCCAGATCGCTGGGCCTCGTAGAATAGGATGGACTTTTCGAGGACCTCGGCGTAATTGTACTTCTCAGACGCGACTGAAACAACAAGGTAATTGATTTACATACAAAGAGAGACACATACAGTCAGGTTACTTCACTGTATCGGTATATGTACAATATCATCAATGGTTTAAGGCTCTTCTAGATCTGCTCAGTTCTTGGAACTGTTTCATTGTATTTTATCTGAAGACCAAGATTTCGTACCTAGACAAGTTTCATTGATGTTTTATGTAATAAAAAAAAAATACACGATGGTTGACATCCTCATTCCTTGTGTAAATACTAAATAAAAGCAGCTTATTGCGTAGTCCGAATTATTCTGACGTTTTATCGACTATTTTCATATCGGTCTGTCGTCGATTAACGTCAGAACTCCGGCCCTCTATAACATGCGGGAAATATGCGACCCGCGCCCGGAGCGCACTTCAAACTGATATTTTAGAAACAAATCGTCACTTTCACACACACTACTTATTGCGCAAACAACGTTTCTGGAACAGCAGGGAACAAATCGGACTTCTCTATATTTTTCGTAATTATTTTTTGCAGATATATCCATATGAACTGAATTCACATTAAAAGATTAATCTTGAAGCAAATCCGAATCAAAATCATCCTGAACCAAACATATTATATAACATATTTATTTAATAAAATATATTATTTGTGTGACCTGCCCGATATCTACAACACGTGATTTCAGCGTTAAATGTATCGTCTTATGACGTCATACCTGCCGCTGGTGACGATGCGACGACTTGTTCGTCGTGTATCAGGTTGACGAATGTTGCCGTTGCTGCAATCGGGGGGTCAGAGGTCGAACGGTTGTACTGACCGGTGATGGTCATGGACAAAGTACCGTTCGCATGCATGATGCCCTGACTGAGGATGTTGACCAACACGAACGTTCTCTTGTCAGCCGAGGTGCTGTAAATGGTTGTTTTGTGTTCCTGTGCAGTTAAATAAAAGAGAACAGAAAAGCTACTCAAAGTATAAACAAAAACCAAACGACAGAAAGTTCCGAACGCAGGAGAAGACAAAACAAACAATCTTCAAACACTTATTTCTCCCTCCTCAAACAGGTACTTTCACCACTTTGCTGTATCAGAATTCCTCTGTCCACACATGTACACTAGGGTATAGACAACATTTACGTGCTGAACAGAAGTTGGAACTTCAAGACCTGTAGTCCCTTGCAATTTATAAGCGGCGGCTTAACTCTCTAGCTCGGGAGTCTCCCGTCCCTTGTAAACAATGGACGTCTTTAAAAACTTTTGTCGGCGGAAGGATTTCTAGTGATTTTGATTGCATCTGCAGGAAGAGATGCTAAAGTACAATGTTTGTTTGTTCGTTTTGTTCGTTTAATTGGGGTTTACGTCCTATTAACAGCTAGGGTCATTTAAGGACGTTCCAGGTTTTGATGGTGAAAGAAAGCCGGAGTTCCCGGAGAAAAACGACGTAGGTCTCGAACCTGTTTGTTTGTTTTGTGCTATAGAACATATGAGAGTTCATACGACGATTTTGTATTTCACGTGAAATGGACGTGTATTTATTTGCTTACTTACACCGAGATGGAGGATGACGGGATAGTTAAAATGGACCTTGATCTCCCATCCATATACTTCTTCGTCAATAGGAAATTGAAACATGCCCTCAAATCTGGTCCCCCAGTCGTGAATATTCGTCAGATTGACACTAGCCATAGCCGGTAACATGGCATGTAGGCATGGCAACAAGCAGGTCAACATCACTACAGCGAAGATCGCCATTTTGTCTGCAAATAAAGATGCATTTCTCGCAGCTCGTTAACGTTAGGATAAATTACACGTCTCTGAAAATACATTTCTCTTAGTCTGAAGTGAACTATTGCGCTTTTCTCTCTCTCATCCTGCATAGCATACGATAACGTTAACAACAGTTAGATAGCGTCTTTATAAAAATAAAATATCGTGTTTTACTATGATAACTCGCTCGAATACATGCGAAAGTATACATGAACATAAGATGAAAATGAATAATAATAAAAATAATCAAATTATTGTTTGAGAATATTTCTGGGGCTTGTTTTCTTCAAAACTCCTTGTAGAATATCTTGTGGTTAAAATATAGCAGTTGTAATGACAATGCGAGTTAGGGGCCACCTATTTGCAGGAGGAAGATTTCCGGAATTTGTCCTAATAAAAGGGTTCGGGCGGGGCAAGGTCACGTCAAACCAGGATGCCTGGCTAAACCTACATTTACTTATAAATAAAACAATGATCTAAATATCTGTAGAAATCTAAACTTCAGAAACGACATGGTTTGTGATAACCTTGTCGCTCTAATACCTTACACAAAGTTACAATAACGTACAGCTGTATATATACCATATTATAACACTTTATAAAATGTTTAAGAAATAATGAATCGTTTCCAAACGAACTTACAGTTATTTAGTTACGAAGAGTGAAATACAATTGGAAACTGCACAGGTAAAAAAGTACAAAAGAGAATAGTATTTTACAATTGACACTGCAAATGACACTAGCGATAACACCATTTAGTTCTGTAAATGTGTGTGTACCTACTGATTACTGTATCTACGTTGTCTTCGTGAGCCGGTAGCCTTGCTGTGATAAGAACCCCAAATGATTACCGCCACCTTAAAACTAAACCACGCCCACACTACATAATCGTCATTCGAGCCGTAGTTTCGATACTGCAGTGAATACAAATGTGGTCAAATCAACATATGTAAATCTTAATTAGCTTTCTTTGTTTTAAAATAATAACTAAACTACTTATTTCAGCTAATGTTAATTGCTCTGGGCTCGTATTTATGAATCCATTCTCATGCTCAAGCATGGATTATGTGCTCAAACCAACTTTCTTTAACCGGTTTAATTAAGTCATGTGACACAATAAAAAATATACGTAAACATTTTACACGGTGTGAGGTCTCTCCAAAGTTCTTCCAACTCATAGACCAATTATGAAATTTTATTTATATATCACTGTAACAAGAAATTAATTTTGAGCACATAATCTGAGTTTGAGCATGAGAACAGTTTCATGAAAACGGACCCAGATTGGCCCAGACTTTCGTTGACAGAGAGTCTTAATATTTAAACATCTCTACCTGGTCGAAACAGTGTAAACTATCAAAGAAAATAAGGACTATGAACAAAACGGATTGTGTACATATCGAATTTACTTGTTGGATTGTAAAACTTTGATAAACTCCTTGTTTCGCCATAGACTTCACTGAGTTGTCTGTCGTAGTTTTTTCTATCATTTGCTAACTAGGCTTCTCTTTAAAAATAGTATTAAATATCATCAAACAGCATAACCCTAGCGAAGAGAAAAGGCAATAAAGCAGGTCATTCAGTGAAGTCCGAAGACTTGCCCTCCGTATGATAAGAATTGTATTTATTATAGTCACGGTATACGTAATGTTTGTAGTCCAGGTAGTACTGGTGTACTAGTGTCCGGATGTGAGGCCAATGTGACAGGTAGCCGCGCGTAACGTGTAACCGCACGTGTAACAATGACAATGACAATTGTTTTATTCTCATATATAAATGTGTTTGGTCTTTGATAATAATATCTGGACATATGTTTTCGCCTACAATTGAGAATTGGTTGATGTGTACATGTAAACAGATAATGAAATTCGTCGCCAATTTCTCTTAAATAACATAAACTACATAATCTATTTTCACATGGTATATTGAACCAACTACCACTTTCAATTGGTAACTTAGTATTACATGTTCTAAACTTACAATACGCTTTGGCTAGTTTCGGCGGAAACCTTCCAAGTTATTGCAGAGTTATCGTTCTTGTGAGCAGGTATTGATTGTTACGTCATTGGTTTGTGGGAGAAAATTACGTCGTTTTCTCAAAAATTGATGCCGTTATTCTCACAAACAAATGACGTAACAATCAATACCTGCTCACAAGTGAAGATAACTCTGCAATACGCAAAGACGGAATATCATAAAGTTCGGTGTAGACGTTAATATTTAGTATGTGTTTGCAAATTTTTAAATGTAATCGTTCGATACGTTTATAGTTACAGAAACCCAAAACTTCACATCCATATAAAACTATAGGTTTGATGGCTTTGTCAAATATATCAAGTTGACTGTCTATTGACAAATTATGATCCCTACATTTGGAAATAGCACCATACATTGCTTTCAAATCTTTACCATACAGTTGTTTAATATTAAATTGTGTCAAACCAGTTTTAATGAAATGAACCCAAAGATATTTAAAATCCTTAGCTATTCCTATAACAGTACCGTTGAATGTAAAATTAAGGCCATCAGGAATTCTTTTTCTACCAAATACCATTCGAACCCCAGTCCTTTACCCCAAAGTATGCCAACTGAAATTGCCATTACGAGCTTTCAATATTACTTCCATTACAGATGTTTCAAACCTGAAATTACTCAAGCTGCTCGAGTCCATCATTTTACGCAGGAGTTTAAAATTTTGAATTAAAATATTGAAAATTAAAATTGAGGTCTGTTTCACTACATGTACATATGTTAACATCTATGTCAGTAATATGTTACATAACTATGTATATAGCCGACTTTGTAGGAACGTTACAGAGGTATTCCCCGAGATAAGTATATATTGGTCACCTCTCGGGGCAGTATATGTGTCGAGTTCAAAAAGAGTGTAAACATTTATTTTTGAAACAACGACCTTTTGAACTTTCATTATCGAAATCACGTGACTTTTAAATCTTTACCATACAGTTGTTTAATATTGAACTGTGTCAAACCAGTTTTAGTAAAATAACCTCAAGATATTTGAAATTCTTTTCTATTCCTTTAACAGTACCGTTGTATGTAAAATTAAGGCCATCAGGAATTCCTTTTCTACAAATACCATGATTTTAGTTTTGCTGATATTGACTATAGAGAAATAAATGTAGTTTGAGGGTAACATAGTCATTTCAGTCTTGAGAATTATAGTCATAGAATTATGAAATGTCCCCGTTTTCTTTGAGAAAGGCACGAACTCCATGGAAGATTCTGGAAAAAGAATTCCTAGCGGCTACCAGGACGAAGAGAAGGGAGAAGGAAAGAAGGATCGGGCACGTGCCCTTTGTATTTCATGTACTTGTTCCTTTAATAAAATGATTGACCGTCGGAGGCCACTCCCATACATAGGTGTTGAGTTTTATATGATAAATGCTTTATTTTGGTTGAACGTAGTGAATTAGAATCATTACTATACTAACGGTAACGGCTATCCGCAATACACTAGTTCTAATTACCTATTGTAATTATTTTAATATCGACTTTAAGTACCGTAATTTTTTGTTCATGCCGGTGATATATTTCCGCTAAAACGATTACAAAGATCTCAGAATATATAAATAGGAAATAAATAATGACTTTAAATGAAAATTTCTTTATGCCTAAAAACATTCTTAATGTTAAGCAACCTCTTACTCTGTCTCAAACATGCTTGACTTTGCAAAATGGCTGCCGCAAATGGACAACACAATGCACCCCTGGACAGTTTCTAAGGGCATAAAGACGGGAACGCCATTTTTGAGACATATTTTATCCACTCCAAAACGTTGATGCCTTACGACTTTACCAGAGTTTCAGGTTTGATAGTGAAGGTATTCTTTTTATTACTAATATTGTCAAAGACGACATTTCACCTGCAACGGGGAAAAACCACAGAAATGTAAAGATTGTAACTGTTGTAATTGGAAAACATTAGAACATTGAATTCGCCAATGTTTCCCAAACAAAAACCACAGGCTTTCAATGTAAGAGGCCTCATGTCATCATACAGTGGGAAGAAGCAGGTCTAGACTTCCCACTGAGCGTAAACACTTTTAATCGGAAGTGGGAACAATTTTTGAATATAAAATAATACACGTGACAAGATTACAAGAACATATTTAAAGAAAATAAATTACTTACGAAACGGTGCATGTAATATAAAATACATCAATACAATATTTAAAAAAGAAACCTAATATATGAAAAGAACTGTATTTACCAGAATTCGAACCCCAGTCCTTTACCCCAAAATATGCCAACTGAAATTGCCATTACGAGCTTTCAATATTACTTCCATTACAGATGTATTAAACCTGAAATTACTCAAGCTGCTCGAGTCCATCATGTTACGCAGGAGTTTAAAATTTTGAATTAAAAATATTAAAAATAAAAATGTAGGTCTGTTTCACTACATGTACGAATGTTAACATCTATGTCAGTAATATGTTACATAACTATGTATATAGCCGACTTTGTAGGAACGTTACAGAGGTATTCCCGAGATAAGTAAATTGGTCACCTCTCGGGACAGTATATGTGTCGAGTTCAAAAAGAATGTAAACATTTCTATTTGGAACAATGACCTTTTGAACTTTCATAATCGAAATCACGTGGTTATGTAGTGGTTCCTCTACATACGATTTGTAGACAGATTCCTGGTTGTTGCTGACGGAGACAGGTAAGTAGGACCGTCATATGGTTTAGTGTGCTTGCACTCAACCACAGATTGTGTTTGAATTAATCTATATAATTCTACTTTGTTGACGTTTTCAAGATTTCACATTCATGGAATATATTTTATTACTTTTGTATGACAAGCCGTCAATTAGTAAGTCAAATTTATAATTAATACACTACGTTTTGGAAGTCTAAAAAGTGTTTTATTAACGTAGATGGTGTTTTTAATACAGGTTCGATTAATAATGAAATGATTACAATGAGGAACATTGAATGTGGCCTCTTAACACAGGTGGTCTCTTAATGGAGGTGGTCACATCAGCAGGTTTGACTATACATAAAGCGGATTTTTTACATGTTTCCGGATATTATCATTATTTATGCAGGTAACATGGTTTCAAATTACCCATCTGTAATTCGTGTATCCTGAACTGTTACATATATTTACGTAAACCCTGGATAGATAATTTGTTAATATGCAAAACCTTTAATCATGGAGAGTTTCAAAGCAATCCTGTGCAATGCAAACCACGATCAAAATCGCCCTTAGCACGACGGTCAGAGAAGATTTTTATTTAATTTCAATCCCGAGTTGTTTTGTTTTAAAAAAAGGGTCTGATATTTAAATCCACATGTTACATCTTGCAACAGTACCACATGACCTGTAAGCTCATTAAAATTCTCGCCAGTAATTAGGAACGGTCACCTTTGATTGCCTATATCTAGAAAACGGGACACTTCTGAACGCGCGTTGATGGATGATCGAATTTATTTAAGTATACTACAGGTTTCCCTTATTTTTCGAAAATCCTGTAAAGATCCCTGCATTGTGATTTTATCTTCCGTTTGGATAAAAATGTATCAGTTGTGCCAGGATATTTACGTTGACAAGCTAGGTAGCTCAATTGTACAATTGGATAGCAATCTTAAGTAAATAAAGGGAAGTAACTCGTATGAACGTAACGAACTAATGGTGATCAGTAGAAAAATAACGACTTCGATTGTTATGGTACATTGTATATATTTTTTTCAGAAAATGCTGCGTTATCTCGTATTTGCGGCTGTGCTGGCCTTAGGTCAGATGGCTCACGTGCCGATGACCAGTGGTCACGACTGGGGAAATAACATCAAGGGCCACTTTGTGTTCCCGGCAACGGAATTGATTGATGGCTGGGAGCTTATCATCAGGTTCTCCTCACCTATGGTCAGAATTCAGGTATGAACAGAGTATCTGTTTCTGGTATGACGTCATCTATAGGGTGATGGGTCTTTCCGATATAGCAACGATCAAAGGAAGATCAATTTTTAATCGCCCAAAAATGCGTTTTCACATGTACATTTTTACACTATTCCGTAAAAATGAATCTTTAATGTTTACGGCAGGAATTCAGAACAATGCTTTAGTTGCAAATTTTGAGATATTTTCGCTAATTAGATTCAATCCAATTCAGTTTTTTATTGCTCTTTTTGAGTTACATAGTAACTTGAAGGCAAACAAAAATAAACAAACATATTAAAAAAACCTTCAAAATTTTCAACAATATATAAACTTAAATAGATAAAATTTGTGTAAATTAGCTAATTATGAGGATGGGTCAATGCTATTAAATAGACCAATCAAAGAGGTAGAGTTATCGAAGTGAAGCCTAGCGGAGAGTAGATCTAACAACAACGACATAATATGTAGTCTCGTTCAACCTGACTCTTGTATTTCTGCGCAAGCTACGCCGGACAGTTACAAGTGATCAAGCGTCTGGTTGAACGAGACAACATACTACGGTACTTCGCACTGTGCCTTCATTATGTGTACTGCAAAAAACGTCACGCGATGACGTTACAGCAAAGTATCATGAAAAAGCGCCAAATTTTGGAAGTACTTAAGTTGATTGTTTAATTATCTTTTGTCATCCCCTGTATTTGGACATCGATACAATGTGTTATTTCAATTTTTCTGATACTGGTAAAGTATAATCTCGAACTTCGCTGATGTTGAAAAAGTTTGGATTCCTGAATAAACATATGCAAAAACCCGGATATTTGAAGTATCTGAGTTAAAATGAATTGAAATGAAGTTAGGAAGTATGAATAAGAATTCGCAATAAATGTTACATTCGAAATAAACTTGTTAAAATGAATAGAAATACATTGCCTTGGCCTAAACCATTTCACCGGGTAAGCGAGTATAACGGAATTCGACCTACCAAATATTTGATAAACTTGTTCAACCTGTATTGTTACTTGCTTTTTTAACAGGAGATGGATGACAAGATTGGGAAAGTCGTGAAGAAATCTGATGACGGATTACTGTGGATTATAAGCAACAGACCGGAATACGGTATCGCACTTCCGGGAACGCAACTTGACATTGTGTTCCAGGGACAATTCGCCGGCGATACAGCGCCTACAGCCGTGGCCGAACTAATCAACTTCGCGAAAGACGGACAAACAGTTCCGACAGTGGTTCCATGCAAGTATCCTATATATCACAAAAAATATTTATTTCCACCACCATAAAGTTTTTTACCCTGTTTTATTTTTTAAGTTGTTAAACTTGCTTTGCATTAACCATTTACATAATCTAAATTTCAAAGGAATGAATATATATTATGGGATGAATTTGCCAATGTCCTGTTATTAAAAAATAGGATTATTTTGAGAAAAGATGAATACGAGAGCTGATAAAACTCTACCTGCGGTGTTCATTTTAGCAGGCTATGCCAAGTAAAAAAATCAATATTGTTAACACATCACGAAGAAAGCGTGCGAGTATTCATCAAACACATGTTTTCTCTGACCGTCATAAAGTTTCAAAGTAGCCATTTGACCTTATTTACAATGTCTCCAAAGAGATTGGTTGGCTTCCAACGGGGATCGAACCCACCACCCACATCCGTTGGAAACGAACGAAACGTGATTTGAGACTGCCCTCAACATGGACGTATTATAACATATGACGTCAGATATAAACTAAAAAGTGGAAAAGAAAGAACAAATATAGCCTGCTGTTGTCTATATATGGTAACACGTGCAACATGAGTCGGAAAACGGTGGCTAAACTACATGTAACGTGCCAATTATAAGTGGTGCTCATCTAGGCCGAGTCCGTCGAGAAACGTAATCACTTATCGAATTGATTCCGAGCTTACACTGAGTATGCCGAGATATTGCGATTCGTAACTTTCAAGTCTTAAATTAGTGTTTTTATCACAACAATTTTTTTTTCAGCCACAGGAACCAAGTACAACTACGATGAGCTCTTAGAGAAGTCGATTCTGTTTTACGAGGCCCAGCGGTCAGGTAAACTGCCTCCCACAAACCGGATACCGTGGAGAGGGGACTCCGCCCTAAACGATCACGGGCAAAGCGGGGAGGACCTCACAGGGGGCTGGTATGACGGTATGTTTTAAGTCTGCGAGGACATCACGCTTGCAAATATACATAGAAGATATGCTTGAAATGAATACAGCCGTTCAGGTTATTGAACCCCAATAACCCCTATTTCCTTTTATAATTAAGTTATAGAAGTTAATTCTCTGTTTTATTTCGTTTCCACAATTTTTAGCTGGAGATCATATTAAATTCGGTCTACCCATGTCCTCAACGGTGACCTTGCTTGCGTGGAGTATGCTGAGATTTAAGGACGCCTATGAGCACGCAGGACAGTTAGAATACGCCTACGATTGCATTAGGTGGCCCCTTGAATGGATGTTGAAATGCCACACAGCACCCGAGGAACTTTACGTCCAAGTTGGAGATGGTGGCCCCGATCATGCATATTGGGGAAGACCAGAAGATATGACCTTCGCCCGACCATCTTATAAAGTAGACGCAACGAAACCCGGAAGTGACGTAGCTGGAGAGTACGCTGCTGCCATGGCCGCAAGTTATCTCGTATTCAAAGACAAAGGTATAAAGTACATTGAATGATAAATCATTATGTTTGTTACTAATTTTTGGTGGAAAGCCTTCAGTTAAAAACAGAAAACTCAAATTCTTAAATTTTCTTTTATTGATAAGTGTGGCAGATTTTGACATTGCTGCTGATGGCACTTGATGTAATTAAATGTAATTAAAAGTTGGTTAAAAAAAGGAGATTTGATGCAATTCATTTAAATCACCAAGAAACTATGAAATGTGGATAATTTTATCAAACAAGTAATAATTACCATTTTTAGCTATACATTTGTTGTTTATTTGTAAGACCCCGATTTCGCTGCGAAACTCCTTACTCATGCCAAGCAGTTGAACGACTTTGCAAACAAGTATCATGGTCGGTATAGTGACAGCGTGACAGCAGCCGCGGCGTTCTACAGGTAAACTCCTAAACTACGCAGTGCTAATGTTCGCGGCGTTCTAAAGGTAAACTCCTAAACTACGCAGTGCTAATGTTCGGGGCGTTCTACAGGTAAACTCCTAAACTACGCAGTGCTAATGTTCGCGGCGTTCTACAGGTAAACTCCTAAACTACGCAGTGCTAATGTTCGCGGCGTTCTACAGGTAAACTCCTAAACTACCCAGTGCTAATGTTTCAATTAAACTCATTCACCACTGAAATTTCGTAATGAACTCTACCAACCTTTGAATTGGAAAAGTTTAAATTATCTTCAGGGGTCATTGAGTTAAGGGTGTATTGTGCTTTATTATAACATATCTATCTCCTATCGACAAGATTTCAGAATCTATAAATCTGGGAAAAACATTTATACAAATCGTAATTTGGGCCTTGATAATATATTACGCCGATATATCCTACAACTTGTAAAAATTACTAACGCCAAGGAGCCAGCTGTAACAGTTCAAGGGAGATAACTCTGATACATTTGAAAATAAAAGCTTAAATGTAAGTTACAGGTTTTATTTATTAAAAACTTGAGACACAATAAAATGTTGGTTACCATATCATAACGGTTACTTTTTGGTCTCAAATGCTTTATAAAAGATTATTCAAGTGTTTATTTTATTTCGCGTACTTTCATAAGGTTTTTATTCGCGAGACTTCTTGTCTGCATCAAAATTTAAGTTTAAAGTTGTTTATTTGGGACACACGAATTAGTGACGTCTCTTTCTGTGCTGTGCAGGTCTGACGCTTACGAGGATGAGTTGTCTTGGGCTGGTGCTTGGTTATACAAAGTCACCAACGAAACAAAATACCTCACGCAGGCGGAACAGTTCTACGTTGGTGGCGCCGCCTGGGGGCAGTCGTGGGACGAGAAAATCGCCAGCGCCACGGTAACTGTTTGCGGCGTGATGTCACGTGACAATAGCCGATCATTTCCCAAACACCAAAACTTGTCTAGCATGTCTAGAACAATCAGAGCACTTCTTAAAATACAAAAAAAAAACAAATATGTTTCACGATATGTTCTGGTAAACAGGAAGCGGATCATGTGCCATCATTTTCTATTTCAAGCTCTGTGTTAGCAGGAATAATCACGAACAGTAGTTTTTGTTCATCGCATAAAAATGCCAGTCCACAACTAAGCGTAGCTCAAACAGGTGTTTCATATGTTAAAATAATTGCTATCGTATTAAGAAAATTCATTGGTAGTTCTTAACAAATTTTAATACAAATGCAATTATTGATCTCGTATTTGTACTCGTATAACAAGATAGTCACGTGACAAATCCCAGGTCATGACAAATGGAGGTTAATATCTCTTCAATGGTGACATAAACAATAGCAAAAAGGTGGTCATGTAGAAAAAAATTGCAAAATATCAATGGCGTCATGAGAGAGATTTTTGAGCGGGCAACATTTGAACGCGTCAAGAAGAATACTATTCAGTGTAAGGTACAACCATTCAAAGAAACCTTAAATTTCGTAAGCCAAGATTCATCCAGAGTACGGTTTGAACATGGTCGCGACGGTGTATCATTACTTTGCCACACAAAAAACACCTTTATATATGAAACGTTTTCTGCAGATTCTTCTGTACGAACTAACTGGAAAGGATGTTTACCTACAAGACATAGAGACCACATTTACAGAGTGGATGCCGGGCGGAACAGTGCCGTATACTCCAAAGGGACTGGCTTTCAGGCTCCAGTGGGGAGCTCTCAGATATGCATGTGAGTGGTGAACAATCGCGAAAATTTATTGTTCGCAAAAAATAATAAAATTTCTGGTTCCGAGTAGCATTTTAATGTTTCATGGGTACGTGACCTAAGAAAATAATCTCCTTATCAAAAGAGTTACTAGTATAATATGCATAGTATAATTGGTATAATATTTGTATTAGTTATTTTGATAATTTTCATTTTATTGCCGATAAATTTGAAAAGTACAAAATGAAATGATAACATGTTTGAAAGGTACTAATAAATTTGCATTGTTAAATTTCTGGTTATTCTGAAAAAGAAGATTATAGTAATCAAAAGGAGGTCACTCTAACAAACAAACACAAAATAGCATAAAATAAGGTGGCATACTACCTTAATTAATTCCGTCTTTGCGTATTGCAGAGTTAGGTATTGGGAGCAGGTATTGATTGTTACGTCACTTGTTTGTGAGAGAAACGTCAATTTTTGAGAAAACGACGTAATTTTCTCACACAGACCAATGACATAACAATCAATACTTGCTCCCAAGAGAAGATAACTCTGCAATACGCAAAGACGGAAAAGCATTATTTAGAATATGTATATATTTGACATGTTTAAGTTGTTTTTTTATCTTGACATGCGTGTTTGCAAAAGAGTCCTACATGTAACTTCAAAGTAAATTTTCCACTGCGGATATTTGAACATTTTTTTTTTTCAATCACTCAACTCCTTAAAGTAAAAATCTGACACACTAAAAAAGTGTGTTGTATCAGATGTGGTGATCACACACCCAGATTTTGAGATTTTGGTCTTATATGTGTCAGTCTTGGAAATGTAAATTTTGTTACTACTATTGTCTTTTGTTGAGGTCAATAGGTCAGTGGTTTTATCAACACGAGAAAAAAAACATTTTAACTGAGGATTAATGATCACAGGTAAAACAAAACCACGTGATTACCGAGTGCATTGCTATAATTAGACCAGTCACGTGTTAGAAAAATATGAACAAATATAAGCATTCCCTTTATAAGGATTTTGGATACGCGTACAGCGATCTTGGGGAAAATTTTTTAAAATATGTACTTACGAATGAAGTGCCTTAATGGGAACAAATAACTAAATATACATTTTCCTATATTTCGATTTTGTTTTATAATGAGGAATATTTCTCTCTGTCATAGCAAACATGGCGTTTATGGCTCTGATTGCTGCCGAAGACGGTATCCATAGTGATGCTTACCGCGCATGGGCGATGTCTCAGATTCACTACGCACTCGGTGACACCGGAAGGAGTTTTGTTGTTGGCTTCGGGGTCAACCCGCCTACTCACCCACATCACAGAGCTGCGTAAGCACGAAAGTGTACATACGGGTCCCAACATGTCTTTCAGATGACCTACCACCAGGGAATAATGTAAAGACAAGAGAGCATAACTCTTATCATTTAAAACCTCACAAGGAAGCGTTCATTGGGATACTTCCGTTCCCCTCATTTTCAGGTCACGGTCGAAGTCGAGGCCAAAGTTAAAATATATTGAATGGCTGTTAACGTCGTTTTCGCTGTTAAAGCGACAACGTTGGTGTGTTTAATGATATTTCTTTTATATACCGAACAACTGGCCCCTGTTGTTGAAAGTTAAGTTCGATTTCACCAGTGGTAAGGGGGTGTATGGAAACAACAAAATTAAGAACATCTGATATCATTTAACTAATTAGGATTGGTTGAAACAAATAACATGGATGTGTTTTGAGGATTTCTTTTCTTTTAAAAGCCCTTATTTATTACTGGCAACAATTTTATTTTTTCACTAACCACTGGTTAAAATTAACCATAAAACTGCTTTCAGTTGGCATTCATAGACAATATGAATGCCAACTGGACAAAGGCAAATTCAATGAAGCGCGCTAGCGCTTCATGTTAGATTTGCCTTTGTCCAGTTGGAGTTCATATTACATATGAATGTCAAGTGAAAGCAGTTCAATACTATTATTGACTATTATTCGGAATTTGTTCATCTCATAGAAAATTCAACATATATTGAAAATGTATGCTTGTTCATTGAAACAGCCATTGCCGAGGGAGGGTCAGTGGCATCCAACGTAACAATCATGACGTCATAATAATAGTGACGTCAACAATCAGTCCATGGCATTCATAGCCTATATGAATGCCAACTGAATTTGTTAGGGTTATATAGTGTCAATGTCATGATATGGTTAATATGATGAAGTGAAATGTGCCAAATTTTATGATTTTTGCCGAAATGATCCCGTAGTAATGCTTACACATACCAGATCAGTATTCCCCTATAGGTCAGGCTTCAGTTTCTCGAAAGAAACGATGCAAGTGATATTTTCCTGAACTTTTAAGCCCCATAGGGAATCATTGCTATTCAATGAAAAGCCTTAATTAAAGCTGAGGAACTATAAATAAACCTTGGTCTGAAATAAATCGACCTGTTTGTTACACATCTTTAATGCATAATGTAAGAACAAAACCAAGTAGGTACAATTACATACATTTTGTACGTGTTTACTTTTACTTCACACAAAATAAAACTTTGCTGTTAGCTTCGATTTAACCATTTAAACTTTAATTAGGGCTTTGGGGTGGCCATTTGTTTAATCAATTATTTGTGTTTAGTTCCTGTCCCTCAATGCCAGCTCCCTGTTCCCACGCGGATCTGAAGAATGTGGGACCAAGTCCTCATACCCTGTATGGCGCCCTCGTGGGGGGTCCTGGCGGTACTGATGATTACAAGGACAATCGAGAGAATTACGTCAACAACGAGGTGGCCTGTGACTACAACTCTGGCTTTCAGGGAGCTAGCTCTGGTAAGTAGGCACTGAAAAGGTCATGGGTCAGATATCTGAGGGTCATAGGGCATTTTCAATGTTATATAGGTCACGTCAGAGGTTATAGATCATGTCAGGGTTATAAGGCAAGTCGTCATATAGGTTATATAGGTCGTATCAGGAATTTTAGGCTATATAGTGAAAGTAGAGGGCCTATAGTGCGTGCCACGAGGTAAAGGGCAAATGTTGAATGTTCACATTTTGTAAATGACATATACACATGTATAAGGGCATCTGACGTGTTTGGGTTTATAAAGAACATACGCCACAAGAGTCAAAACACGACGTGCTACGTAACCAGATGACATGTCGGAGGTCTGAGGGTATAGTAGGGATTATTTGATAAATGAGGGGCCATAAAGCATCTGAAGGGTCATATTACACGTCATGGATCATACATAGGTAAGTCATAAATACCCGGTCCATAGGGCATGCCAATGAGTCACGTGCATTATCAGGGATGATGAACGATGCAAATGGTACATGACATTCCAGTTAATCCTTATGACATGTTCCATGAAATATGACATTATAAATGGCCATGTGATGACCTGCCACGGTCAAAGGAATGTACCGGAATGGTATACTTATAATTTAAACGACAATGTGGTCATATGACATCGTATATAGAGTGTACCTGGGGTAATAAGGTTATCGGGGTCAAAGGGCATGTTCAGGGGTTTAATACTTGGTATAAAATGTAACAGGTGGAGTCCACGGTTATGCCCGGGTGACCATAAGGTGTCATACAGTCATATGCATATCAAAGTGTCATACGGTGTATCTTAATTGGTCCATATATACAAATGAACGCTGCATCAATTTCAAAATTGCTTTTCAAAATCTCATTTCAAAATCGTATTTCATAATTTCATTTCAAAATCGCATTTTAAAATATCATTTCAATATCGCATTTCAAGATCACATTTCAAAATAGCATTTCAAAATCACATTTTAAAATCTCATTTCAAAATCACGTTTCAAAATCTCATTTCATTTCGTTTCAGCACTGGAGTCGTTGAGTCTGAGAGGATTACTTCCGGCCAGTTCACCATAAAGACAGCTTCCCTGTTCACTTTATGTTTGTGATTTTTTTGTTTGATTCTAATAGATAAAATATAGAAAAGGTCACCCGATTTCATTATGGTTTTTTAATCCAGCTTACTTCATAGCACTGATTTAGATTTTAAAAGATTGCAGACAGACCCACTACGAAAAGTCGATAGACTTCAAGTATGAAATATCGACGATAGATTCAGAGAAAAAATCAAAATAACCTTCGCGAGTTATATATAGCTGTTATGTCAGAACTGGTCGATAGACGACCACGTTCTCTGCCATAAATGTAGTAAGATGCATTCCTTTTCGACTAAGAGTTAAACACAGCCTCGGCTTTTATATATAAAAAAAAAAAAAGTCTTGAATAAATAATTTAAATTACATATGTAGCATCCGCATTGCACCTGTTAAATTAAAATTCATTTAACAACAACAAAATCGATAACTGGATTTTGAGGATAGTCATTTCACAAGGGATTTCTACTATTCATTTGATTAGTTTTCTATTTTGGTCAGGTTTTGAGGTGATAACTCAGATGAGCAGGTGTAAAATGATTTAATGACGAAATATCTAGATATCGTCACACATCTTGTCACTTGCAGTTGCTTACACATATATAACGCCGTACACTATCACCGGTACTGGCGTGTTCAACGAGTCACATATGTATGACTAACATACACGATCGATTAGAGTTCTGCATAGTCAATGTCTTACATAACCTTGTCATCTGCATGTGGTCCTATGGAGTGATGAAAAGCAGACGTCATCCAGAATCTCGTCATGTGTATATGGTCCCTAGGAGTGGTGTTAAGTCAACGTTTCCTATGATCTTGTCACAAGTATACGATCCTAGCAGTGGTATATATTAGTCAACGTATTCTAAGATCTTGTCACTAATATACGTTCCTCGAGAGTGATATATATACATCGTCGTTAAGAACCTTGTCATTTGTTTCCGTTTCCTAGAAGTGGTGTATAGTCAACGTCGTCTATGACTTTGACTTTTGAATGCGGTCCCAATGAGTGGTAAATACTCAACGTCTTCTATGATCTTGTCACTAGTATTACCGTCATCGATAATGGTGTTTAATCAACGTCGTCCAGAACCTTGTCACTGATATACGGCCCCAAGGGGTGGTGTAATTGACAGTAGTTTAGTTTATGGGCGGATTGGTCGAGTCGTGAACACTCCGTGCTTCCTCGCAGGAGGCCGGGGTTCGATCCCCAAAGTCGTCGTACGCATGGAATATTCAGAGAAAGTGTTTTTCTCCTGCCCACACAACTCCAACAACCCACGTGGAGTATAGATTGGTCTGGGGTGGATGTTGCGGTATCTGTGTTGTAGCATTCAAGTGATTTGGCACTTTAAATGTTGCCATTGGAAGCACGGTCCCACTACAAACAGAACGCATTACAACTCCATCATACGCGCAGGCATACACACATAGGGAGATATTAGCCAGGTGGTATAGGACTTGTAGTTAGCGCCTGATAAGGCAGCTCCTGCTGATTGTATTAATTGTATAGCTATGTACTGTAAAGCGCTTTAGAGTGGCTTATGCTAGCTCGATAGGGCGCTATATCAAATATTGTATATACAGTTGTGGGATCGCACAACGTTACACGATGTTCGGTGTGCGCACGATCGATGTGTGCACGATGTGCGAACGATGAAAATTGGACGATCATTGCTTTCGCACATTTGTGCGCACAGTGGACGAACGTTGTGCGATAACAATCGTGGTTGGTGTAAACTGAGGAATAGCTTAACAATATAAACGGTTTCGTATTTAAACATATACACTTGATTTTTAAGTATGTTTCTATATCCAAGCTACATCTATAAGCTTATGTTTCTATCTATACTTTCTTAAAATTAGAAATGGTGTTTTCGGTGTTTTTTTAAATGATCTTAATCGATACATGTAAAATTACAACACAGTCCCGTATACAGTTTTAATGCAAATAACAAATACTTAACGTCCAGTTGTGTTTTCATAACTGGCATACGGTATCACATATCAGCTCTATTAGACTATATGTGTCAGGCACAGACCAGTTAACACTTCGGTCACTCATCAAATTGATGTTTACCTGTTCTGTTACCTTTGAGTCGAACCCATTCTTGACAGTCTAACGGTCACAGTAATACTGTGTAACACGCATTGTAAAATTGTACATAATCTTAATTATTTGTGATGCGAAAGTGCAGTAATATATACAGTGTACATTATTGCATACGAGCATTCCACATTTTTTTCATTCCGTAATATTAATCAACAACTTGTACCGGAGAGAAGCGCACAAAGGGGCAAACGATGTTAAATCGCACAGTTGTGCGCACCATGTGTGAACGATGTGTGCGGACGGTGTCTGAACGATGTATGATAGGTATGCGCGCACTATTTTTGGTGCGTGCTGCGGTCACACAACTGTATATTGTTCCTAAGAGTGATGTATAGTCAACGTCGACCAGATCCTTGTCACAAGTATGCGGTCCTCAGCAGTGGTGTATAATCAACCTCTTCTATGGCCTTGTCACAAGTACAAGATCCTCAGTAGTGGTGTATACTCAACCTCTTCTATGGCCTTGTTACTAGTATACGATCCTCAGCAGTGGTGTATACTCAACCCCTTCTATGGCCTTGTCACTAGTATAAGATCCTCAGCAGTGGTGTATACTCAACCTCTTCTATGGCCTTGTTACTAGTATACGATCCTCAACAGTGGTGTATACTCAACCTCTTCTATGACCTTGTCACTAGTATAAGATCCTCAGCAGTGGTGTATACTCAACCTCTTCTATGACCTTGTGTCACAAGTATACGATCCTCAGTAGTGGTGTATACTCAACCTCTTCTATGACCTGGTGTCACAAGTATACGATCCTCAGTAGTGGTGTATACTCAACCTCTTCTATGGCCTTGTTACTAGTATACGATCCTCAGCAGTGGTGTATACTCAACCTCTTCTATGACCTTGTCACAAGAATAAGATCCTCAGAAGTGGTGTATAATCTACCTCTTCTATGACCTTGCCACAAGTACAAGATCCTCAGTAGTGGTGTATACTCAACCTCCTCTATGGCCTTGTCACTAGTATACGATCCTCAGCAGTGGTGTATACTCAACCTGTTCTATGGCCTTGTCACTAGTATACGATACTCAGCAGTGGTGTATAATCAACCTCTTCTATGACCTTGCCACCAGTACAATATCCTCAGTAGTGGTGTATACTCAACCTCCTCTATGGCCTTGTCACTAGTATACGATCATCAGCAGTGGTGTATACTCAACCTGTTCTATGGCCTTGTCACTATAGTATACGATACTCAGCAGTGGTGAATACTCAACCTCTTTCATGGCCTTGTTACTAGTATACGATCCTCAGCAGTGGTGTATACTCACCCTCTTCTATTACCTTGTCACAAGTACAAGATCCTCAGTAGTGGTGTATACTCAACCTCTTCTATGACCTTGTCACAAGTACAAGATCCTCAGCAGTGGTGTATACTCAACCTCTTCTATGGCCTTGTCACTAGTATACGATCCTCAGCAGTGGTGTATACTCAACCTCTTCTATGACCTTGTCAATAGTATACGATCCTTAGCAGTGGTGTATACTCAACCTCTTTCATGGCCTTGTCACTAGTATACGATCCTCAGCAGTGGTGTATACTCACCCTCTTCTATTACCTTGTCACAAGTACAAGATCCTCACCAGTGGTGTATACTCAACCTCTTCTATGATCTTGTCACTAGTATACGATCCTCACTAGTGGTGTATACTCAACCTCTTCTATGACCTTGTCACTAGAATACGATCCTCAGCAGTGGTGTATACTCAACCCCTTCTATTACCTTGTCACTAGAATACGATCCTCCGCAGTGGTGTATACTCAACCTCTTCTATGATCTTGTCACTAGTATACGATCCTCAGCAGTGGTGTATACTCAACCTCTTCTATTACCTTGTCACTAGAATACGATCCTCAGCAGTGGTGTATACTCAACCTCTTCTATGATCTTGTCACTAGAATACGATCCTCAGCAGTGATGAATACTCAACCTCTTCTATGGCCTTGTCACAAGTATAGTATACGATCCGCAGCAGTGGTGTATACTCAACCTCATTTGTACACGATCAGCTTGAGTGGTTTTTAATCAGCGTCTTCTATAATCTTGTCACTAGTATAGGGTTATCGAGAGTGGTACTTTGACATCTCGCCCAGAACAATGGCATTTGCATACGTCTTTAGGAGTGGTTTAAATTCGTTGTCGTCAAGAAACTTGTCACCAATACGATCCCTTTGAGTGTTATATAGTCAACGTCTTTTATGATCTTGTCACCAGTATACGGTCCTCCGGAGGGATGTATAATCAACGTCGTCCAGAACCTTGTCAATGGAACACGGTCCCCAGAGGTAGTCTATAATAGACGTCGTCCTAAAATTGTCACTACTTTAAGGTCCCCAGGAGGGGTAGTGTATAGTCAACGTCGTCTATAACCTTATCATTTGTATACGATCCGCATGAGTAGTATGTAGTCAACGTCATCTATGATGTTGCCACTATAACATGTATATACGGTCCTCAAGAGTAGTATAAAGACATTTCTGCTAGAGCTTTGTCATTTGTATACGGTCTTTAGGAGTGGCGTCAATTCTTTTTCGTCCATAACCTTGTAACAAATACGGTCCCCATGAGTGGTATATAGTTCACGTTTTCTATGACCTTGTCACCAGTATTACAGTCAATGGGAGTGATGTATAATCAACGTCGTCCAGAACCTTGTCACTGGTCGGTTCCAAGGGATGATGAAATGAGCTCTGTCATTTGTTAACGACTTTAGGAGTAGTGCCCTAAATTCTGTTTCAACCATAACCTTGTCACCAATACGGTCCCTATCAATGGTGCGTAGTCAGCATACAGTTCCCAGGAGTGGTATATAAAGTCAACGTCGTCTACGACCTTGTCACTAGTATACGGTCCACAGGAGTGGTAAATGATCAATGTCGTCCTGCACCTTGTATTACGCATGTAGTAGAGCGTGCTGCAAACGTAATGTTTTTTTGGCGTAGGAATATCTTTTTATATATGACTCAATGGTAAGTAACGACAGATATATCGAAATCCATATAACCGCTTTAAATGTAAACATGCTTGAATTCATTGCCTCCATATAGAAAACGTGCTTGTGAAATGGGACATAATGTACATGTGTTATATGTATGTGGAATGTGACCCTCGTTTTACATAAAGAACGATCCATAATTACGTATACTGTTAATATACACCAAGGACGCCTTAGATAGCTTTGCTAATTTATCCATCACGCAGGTAAAAGTTGAATCTGATTCCCACCGTCTGTTTTAGACGAAGGCCGCATGGATAGCTATTCTTCCCTCCATACCATTTCACTTATCAATACTGTATCGATCTGATAAAAAAATCAAAAGCAATCGCATCGATTCCTTAATTACAGAGAGTCAATACTATTAGATGATTTGGTCGGCTGCATATTTAATGATTTAAAAACACGATGCTGAGAGATGTAGCTTGTTGACGCAAGCCATACATGAAGCTATAGGCGGTCGATACTGGCCGGTGTGTGTGTCGGTGTGATGCGCGTAGTATAGTTCTAATTCTTAGCAACAGTATTCCCACAGACACGAGAACACATCCTGGTACTAGATACACACGTGTTGTGACAATAGGAATTAATATTGGATATTTATATTTCATCGTTAGTATGACTGTTTTCACGGGGACAAGCTGTTTCCCATAGCGGTACTCCAACGCGTGGTATTTGTGACCAGCAGACGTATGAGGTATAGTACAACGTCTTATATACTAAATCTAGAATTGCCTTATTTGGAGGGCACTCAAATTGACACAGTATTCTACTGAGGGCGTAAACGTTAGTGTCTCACTGTTACTGTATTTTGGTGAGGGCATATCTCTATACATGTATATATTTGTATTCCTGTGAGGGCATATCTCTATACTTGTATATAACTGTATTCTTGTGAGGGCGTATCTCTATATATGTATATATTTGTATTCCTGTGAGGGCGTTTCTCTACACAAGTATATAACTGTATTCTGGTGAGGGTGGATCTCTATACATGTATATAACATATAACTGTATTCTTGTGAGGGTGTATCTCTATACATGTATATAACTGTATTCTCGTGAGGGTGTATCTCTATACATGTATATAACTGTATTCTCGTGAGGGTGTATCTCTATACATGTAAATAACTGTATTCTTGTAAGGGCATATCTCTATACATGTATATAACATATAACTGTATTCTTGTGAGGGCGTATCTCTATATATGTATATACTTTTATTCCTGTGAGAGCGTATCTCTATACATGTATATAACTGTATTCTTGTGAGGGCATATCTCTATACATGTATATAACATATAACTGTATTCTTGTGAGGGCGTATCTCTATATATGTATATAATTTTATTCCTGTGAGGGCGTATCTCTATACATGTATATAACTGTATTCTTGTGAGGGCGTATCTCTATATATGTATATATTTGTATTCCTGTGAGGGCGTTTCTCTACACAAGTATTTAACTGTATTCTGGTGAGGGTGTATCTCTATACATGTATATAACATATAACTGTATTCTTGTGAGGGTGTATCTCTATACATGTATATAACTGTATTCTGGTGAGGGTGTACCTCTATACATGTATATAACTGTATTCTTCTGAGTGCGTAGCTCTATACATGTATATATCTGTATTCTTGTGAGGGTGTATCTCTATAGATGTATATAACTGTATTATGGTGAGGGTGTACCTCTATACATGTATATAAATGTATTCTTGTGAGGGCGGATCTCTTTACATGTATATGATTGTGTTCTTGTGAGCGCGTATCTCTATACATGAAATAACTGTACTCTTGTGAGGGCGTATCGCTATACATGTATATAATTGTATTCTTGTAAGAGCGTATATCTATACATGTATATAAATGTATTCTTGTGAGGGCATATCTCTATACATGTATGTAACTGTATTCTTGTGAGCGCGTATCTCTATACATGTTTATGATTGTGTTCTTGTGAGCGCGTATCTCTATACATGCATATGATTGTGTTCTTGTGAGCGCGTATCTCTATACATGAAATAACTGTACTCTTGTGAGGGCGTATCGCTATACATGTATATAACAGTATTCTTGTGAGGGCGGATCTCTTTACATGTATATAACTGTATTATGGTGAGGGTGTACCTCTATACATGTATATATCTGTATTCTTGTGAGGGTGTATCTCTATACATGTAAATAACTGTATTCGTGTTAGGGCATATCTCTATACATGTATATGATTGCGTTCTTGTGAGGGCGTATCTATATACATGTATATAACTATATGCTTCAGATGGCGTATCTCTATACATTATAACTGTTTGCTTCTGATGGCGTATCTCTATACATTATAACTGTTTGCTTCTGATGGCGTATCTCTTTACATGTATATGATTGTGTTCTTGTGAGGGCGTATCGCTATACATGTATATAACTGTATTCTTGTGAGGGCGTATCTCTATACATGTATATAACTATATGCTTCTGATGGCGTATCTCTATACATGTATATGATTGTGTTCTTGTGAGGGCGTATCTCTATACATGTATATAACTGTATTCTTGTGAGGGCGTATCTCTATACAGGTATATGATTGTGTTCTTGTGAGGGCGTATCTCTATACATGAAATAACTGTATTCTTGTGAGGGCGTATCTCTTTACATGTATATAGCTGTATTCTTGTGAGGGCGCATCTCTTTACATGTATATAACTGTATTCTTGTGAGGGCGTATCTATATACAGGTATATAACTGTATTCTTGTGGGGGCGTATCTCTATACATGTCTATGATTGTGTTCTTGTGAGGGCGTATCTCTTTACATGTACATAACTGTATTCTTGTGAGGACGTATCTCTATACATGTATATGATTGAGTTCTTGTGAGGGCGTATCTATATACAGGTATATAACTGTATTCTTGTGGGGGCGTATCTCTATACATGTATATAGCTGTATTCTAGTGAGTGCGCATCTCTTTACATGTATATAGCTCTATTCTTGTGAGGGCGCATCCCTTTACATGTATATAACTGTATTCTTGTGAGGGCGTATCTCTATACATGTATATGATTGTGTTCTTGTGAGGGCGTATCTCTATACATGAAATAACTCTATTCTTGTGAGGGCGTATCTCTTTACATGTATATAGCTGTATTCTTGTGAGTGCGCATCTCTTTACATGTATATAACTGTATTCTTGTGAGGGCGTATCTCTATGCAATATAACTGTATGCTTCTGATGGCGTATCTCTTTACATGTATATAACTGTATTCTTGTGAGGGCGTATCTCTATGCAATACAACTGTATGCTTCTGATGGCGTATCTCTTAACATGTATATAACTGTATTCTTGTGAGGGCGTGTGGCACACTGTATATATATATATATGTTTTATATATATTTATTTTACATGCCGTAGTTACACGAACATCTACAGTATAAATATTTATCACTACATTTATTAACATTTTTCTATTAAATCGCTTGACCTTGCGTATTCAAGATAAATTTTGTACAATATTTAGCCTTCGGTTACAAGCTTACCGAGAGGATATTTTGTTTATGTATTATATATTGTAGTATTGTTTCATAGTGACTGGTTATCTTTGGTATATGTTGTGATATGTAAGTGTTCATGTTTTTGTCTTGAAAAAAGGGGAGGATTACCCTGAAAGTTGAACATAGTCCTTTGTCTGCACTGCCGTTATTATTTCTTACCCTTTAAATCATATATACATTTTACATATATTCTCTGTGCGCGGTCGCTACATGGTATTGCTGCTCTTGCACTTTGCTAATACCAATAAGGTTATGTTGTTGAATCGTGTAAAATGTATGCATACACATCCCACTAGCTTGTAACAACGCCAAACGAGTGTTTCATCTTGGACAAAAAAAAGGTAGTTATGTATTTTGCACGCAGGTGGTAAAGTGTACACATTTTTTCTGAATTTACTCAATAACCCTGATAGATTTTTGTGTAAATATCTGTTATTGATGATAATTTGAACTTTATCAGTTCATGGAAGACATATTGCAAAATAGATACACACGAACATACATAATAACTTAAGCTCAGATTCTTTGAACTATGTCTTGTTCCGATGGTTTAAATCAAATTTAATTGTTTGGTGGTGGTGGTTTTTTCAAAATCATTTCGCGGATTTAGGAGACACTTGAAACCGAAGTCCGTTTTCAGTGTCTTGACGTTACTTATAAACAGTGTTAAGTGATTTCCATCAGAACGGCTAATGAACAGGGTCGCTGGTATCTCAGAATTTATCTTAGTGGTAAACACTCCAGTCTTTAATGCAGACGACCGGAGTCTAATTCCTCAAAGTTGTCAAAGTCATTGATTTCGGATAGAGTGGTGATTTGTTTCTCCTGCTTTCACAACTTTTATAGTCCAGGTATAGGTTGTAAAACGGTAACGGGGTAGGTGCGACCTGTAGAGTGTGTTTGGTGTAACAATCCGATGAATCGGCACTTTTGTAAATCAAAACACCGATACTCCTTCAGTACACAAAAATGTGGAGGTATTATCCATGTGGCTTAGGACCAGTAGTTAAAACCTGTTAAGGAGGCTTTTGTGAGATAATCGACGTGTATTGACTGTAAACGTTTATTGTTTTGATTCCATATCTAGTATTGTAAGCAACTTAAAATACCGTACTCTAGCTAGAAAGGGTAATGTATTAAATGTATAGTGTTTGATTGATTGGTTTTACGTCCGCTTCACTACCGTATAGTATATTTATACAATATAAATAGAAACATAATGATTTGGAAAGGAGATAACTCTAACACAAAACACAGATATCTGGTGTAAAACAGCATATATTACTCACGTCGAGTTAAAAAAAAAACCGAACTAAATATGTACAGTTTGATATTGGTAATATGTTGGCAATCCAAACTTATCATTATAGCCATACATTTTACATAGCATAAAGCTATGGAATATGAATAAACTTAATTATCAAATGTCCATCTTTTCAGGGACTAAAAAATCATGAATACCTCGAGGTTCCTCAGACTTAATTTGGAACTAGACATTCAAGAGCGGATGACACGAACAAATGGACGATGGACGGACAACACCTGCTGTCGATGAGGAGACGCCACAAGTGGACTCACATGCGGTCACTTAAGGTAATGGACGAACTGGGCAACCAATATTGGTCATTTAAATGTTGTTGGGTTCTTTTATCCTTTGTACATAATTAATGGACAATATCTATCTAGTGATGTCGTCCCTTACACTCACTAACACGTGTGAGTGAATGTAAGGGACGACAACTCTGGGTAGAGATTGAATTAATGAATTCGGTTGATGACTGATCGTATGAGCTGATGCTATCCGTCTTCGTCCGCACTCTGGGTAGAGATTGAATTAATGAATTCGGTTGATGACTGATCGTATGAGCTGATGCTATCCGTCTTCGTCCGCGTTGTACATTGTGGTTCTTCATTATGTCGTTAACAATCGAACTATTGAACATGTTTGACTTCTTCTTCAGAACCACGGAAGCAATTGGCCCCAGGCTTGGTAAAAATATTCTTTCGGAGGTCTTAATAATAATAATAATGATAATAATATACAGCATTTATATAGCGCCCTATATAATTTGTAAAATTACTCTAAGGCGCTTTACAACATAATAGTAATGGTTATAATTGTTAAAACAAACAACAAAGGCTTGCAATCGCTTTCATACATTTAACAAGCAATGTGCACATAATTGAACAAATAGAAGGATGGTATTTAAATGACGTCTTTGCAAAGATTCTAAAATGCAGACGAGAAGAGGTGAGTTTGTATGTCCCTCTTGAACTTGGCCAGGGTATTTGACTTCCTAATAGCAGATGGTAAGCTATTCCACAACGTAGCAGAAACCCTTCCAAAGCATCTGTTTCCGTAGGTCGCAGTACGAGATTTTGGGACACACAACAAAGATTCTGACTCCGACCGCAGTGATCTTGACGGCTGATACAGGGTAATAAGTTCCTGTAGGTACTGAGGAGCTGTTCCATTCAGTGCCTTGTATGTGTATACCAGAATTTTGTACTGCGACCTGTATCGTAAAGGTAACCAGTGCAGCGAATAAAGCGCAGGTGTGATGTGCTCTCTCTTTCGAGTACGAGTAACTAGCCGTGCTGCAGTGTCCTGGACCCTCTGCAGACGACAAGTTAGTTTGTCATATATACCACAGAGCAGGGCGTTACCATAATCTATCCGAGAGGTAACAAGTGAATGCACCAAAATCTTGCATGTATCTGCAGTTAGAAACTGCCGAATACAGCCGATGTTCCTGATCTGGTAGTAACAGGATTTGGCAATAGCGTTTACTTGTTTCACCATGTTCAGAGAACTATTAAAGTATACCCCTAGGTTTTTAACAGCTGGAACAGTCTCAATAGTTCTGGCACCAACCTTGAGCTGGAGAGCCATTGTTTGCTGACACCTTGGAGAAAAAAACCCGATTAGTTCCGTCTTTTCCTGATTAAGTTTAAGCATGTTGTCGTTCATCCAGATACTAATATCTGTCAGACAAGCTTCCAGACTTTCTGAGACTGTATTCCAACTGTCCTGTGGTTTTATGACCATGTAAGTTTGTGTGTCATCGGCATAGCAATGATAGCGAGGGTATGGCGACGACAAATCTCTCCAATCGGTTTGGAGTACATACAATATTTTCGTGGTCCTAACACCGACCCTTGAGGAACCCCGAAATCTAGTACTTTGTCATGTGAGGTGGCAGATCCGATGGCAACACACTGTCGTCGTTCACTCAGGTATGACTGTATCCAGCATAGTGCGGTATCAGTCACTCCATAAGAGTATTCTAGACGTTTATAAAAGTATGCCATGGTCGATGACGTGACCCGTGAAGTGTTGTCACATTTCACGGCAATCCGAAATTCAAGATGACCGCTCTGGTCTCTGATTTGTTGAATATATCATGATTGATTCCAAACTCTGTACTGTGTTCATTATAATGTGACCCCCTAAGTGTTGTTACTTTTCGAGCCAATCAGAAAATTGACGATGGCCTTGGAGTTGTTTTCGATTTTTTTTTTCAATAGCTGGTACATTAATTTGTTTCATATTTTCAAATTTGGTTACAATATCCTTTACGGTATCCCAACTATGTCTCGTTATTCTTTTCTTTGGAGTACTGCCCTATCCTCAGAATGACCAAGATCTTTTCCAACTTTTACTCAATTGCAGCAACAATATACATCAAACTTGATGCAAATGTTCCTTATGACCTAGTTTTTACTCTTCGTGTCGATCCAGAAATCCAAAATGGCGAGCTTGGCTGAGACTTATTCTCGAGAATGACTACAGCGATTGAACAACATGTTTCTTATCGGTTTCTATGTTATTTCTAAATATTTGAGCTAATAGCTTTACTATTCAAAGCTCAACACTTGTGACAACTGTCTTTAATCATCGATACATACCTGACAAAGGCTGAACATTGCACTTTAGACAGATTTACTAGCGTCACAGACTTCAGTTGGTGAGAACCGGAAGTTTACAAGCCAAACCTGTGAAGCGGGTCTGGAACACTTCCTGACTCTTCAGCGCCTTGATAAATCCGCTATCATATATCAAAATCTACTAAAATTCTACAATTTCCCAAAGTTAAATACCTGTAGATTGCATTCAATAAAACAATATGTCAGCAATTACACATTTAAATTACTCACGGGCATGGCATTTTAACCGGAACAATTGTTAGGTAAACACTTGTCGATTGGCTGATTTAGGTGCGGGAGTCCTTGTCACTAACCAATTTTGTTTTCAAGTTAACTGCTCTGGCCTCTGATTGGCTGAGACTTTTAAATTTTCTTTCATCCCAAGAACGGCTACAGTGATTGACTTCAAATATTCTGCTATCTTGAATGACACTTTGCTCTTCTTGTCCACAGGTCCCTGTGCGGTAAGAGCCATGACGTCACACGCCTGTCGGGGGAAATGTACCGGGCTCCTGTGGGGATTTTTCCTGATGGCTATCCTCACGTATCTTCTTCTCTATATTAAACTGACCAATAGAAACACACCGAAACATCACATGACCGCATACTGGCTGCAGTGGATCGCCTTTATGGATTCGAAGAAAATTAATTCTGCATTCGATAGTTCAAATAACGAATCATCTAAGTTCAATGATTCTATAAATTGTATATCTCAAAATTTAACGACGGAAATTTTGGATTTGTGTCAAAAATCTGAAAGAGGTGCCACCGATAATGGCTTTATTCCTTTTAACAAATTTGAATACCCACTCGAAATTGATATGAACGATTTAGTATCAAACCTTAAGACAGCGAAGAACGTATCAATAAAGCCAATATTTTCCTATCCGTACACTTTCGTCAAATCTCCCACTTGGATGTGTGAATACAGGGACGTACGTCTGCTTATTTTGGTGAAATCTGGAGTGAGCCACTTTAAAAGGCGGGAAATGATTCGTTACACATGGGGAAATTACACAGAATCAGGTGTCGTGACCTTATTTCTATTGGGGTCAACGCCACACGTGATGTTTCAACGACGAATTTTACAAGAACATCATCACTATGGTGATATTTTACAGATGTCCTTCTTTGACGCCTACTACAATAATACCTTGAAGACGGTTGGTGGGATAAAATGGGCGCGAAATCATTGTAACCAATCAAAATTTGTCTTATTTACCGATGATGATTTTTATATAGCAACAGAATTATTGTTGAAATACATTGAAAATATGCAACGTTTTGAAAGAACTTCCGTGTACAGAGGGGCTATGTGGAAACGTGGACGCCCGATAAGGAATGAGCTTAATAAATGGTATATTTCTCGACAGGACTACCCGTTTGACCATTACCCGGATTTCGTCGCGGCTGGATTCATGCTAATGTCTATAGACTTTGTTATAGATTTAGATCTAGCTATTCCGTATACCAAAAAGTTTATATTTGATGATGTGTTCATATCAATAGTTGCTTACAAATTGCATGTACAACCATCACATATGAACAGCGTACATATAAACAAATTTCCGTACAATCGAGAGGGTTTCCGACAAATTATAGCCTCCCACGGATACGATCGGACTTCTACGTTACAGCAAGCCTGGTGGATACACCAAAATAGACACCTACATAAATCCGGTAGAAAGAGTATCAGAGCTTACAGCGTCAGAGCTACTTAGTCCAACGAAGGGGATTTCACCCAAGAATTCTGCGCTTTTACGTATTTTGGTAAAAAAAAATATTCGCAAAGCAAGATCTTCCATCTTCAGAATCTTATGCATTTGTGTAATTTTATTTTTATTTATTGCCAAAAAAGAAGACGAATGGAAATGTGGTCATAATTATGCATTTTAGGCCTACTGTATAATGAAGTGATTTATGTCGTAGCGGTAAATTTCCATGTTTATATCTACCAGAATGAGCATAGATGATGGGCTTGTGATAATGATTATTATCATTAATAATTATCATTATCACTAATCCGGCACTACTATCCGTCCAATTTTCTACTTTATATTTCTTTTATAGTGTCCGGTACATTCTACTGTAAGATGTGACAGCTGCCCCGCGTGAGCGTCGAACCCGCGACCATGTGACGGACGGCTAGTGATCCGAGAAGGCCAGGCGCCTTAAACACTCGCCCTCCGCTGCCATCAATTACGTATGAGGTGTTTTTTTTAAATCCAAACAATATATATGAATATATAAACAACATTTTCATTGTGTAATACGATCAAGACTTCGATTATCCTGGAAATCGATTACCGTTTGCATTTTTTTTGAAGTTTTCTTTTTTTTGTATACATCCGGAAAACCGTTACTATGGACATTTTGAGATCAATTGTTTCGGATTAACTTGAACTACATTCACGCCAAAACAGATATGTTCCTTTGCAGAAATATTGAACGTGAAATTGGTACTAGCGCCGGTTATTGTTGGTCAGCTTCAAAAACCACCTAATGAAATGTTTAAAAAAGTAAGTAAAGCTTTCAAGTGTGGATATTTCCCAAAACTGAATTTTTGGAAAATATTTAAGCGTAAACGGGGTTGATTAGCCTAAATCAAAATATGAAAATGTGTGTCGAAAGTCGTGGAAAATCTAATATTTACACACCGTTGGTACCGATCGGGAACCGTCGGCATTTTCCGTAAACGAGAAAAAACGCCTTTTTATTGTTTACGGAAAGTGTCGACGGTTCCCGATTGCGTTGGAATCAAAATTCAACTTGTAAGTCGAATTTGTTAAGTTGTAATGCAGTGAGATCTATTTTGACCTACATTGACATTTGACAATTAAAAATACATTTTGATTTTTTTTTCTAAGTAAGCAGACCCTTTCAGGTAAACTAATATTAACAGTTGCCACCTTTGCAAAGACTGGATAACCTGTCACATACCCCCATAAACCCGTCTTCATGCGACCCTGGCTGTTGCGAGGACGTTAAACCACATGCAAACAAATCACGCCATTAACATTGATATACATATAGACAATTAAGATCAGTTATCTTGATTTATTTTATATCGTTTTTAATATATTGAAACGTAGATGTCAAAAAACACCAGCCAGAAAATGCTTGTTCTCAGTATACGGTCTTGTGAAGTCAAAACATGTTTAAGTATTTTAACCATGTAAGGAGTCCTCACTAACTATTTCTTCCGTCTTCCGTTATACAGTATCAAATGCACCTATATCAGTTTTGTATTATGTGAAACAGCGACGAAGGACATGGTCGAGAAGAATTCAAAAGAACCGATGCCAAGGACACCACGCTTTACCAAAAACGAACAATAAAATTTACACATCTATGCAACGTGTATAAATTAATGTTAAAATGTTGAGCTTCTGTGATGTCGATATACTTTGTATGTCTAAAGAAATAAAATATCAAATATTTATATTTGAGAATTGCGTTTCATTTATTGATCATTTTTAACAGATTTAAATGGTGACTTCACAATAGGATTTTTTTCAGTAGAAATCACGAAATAACTATCATAATTAGGACGCAGTTACATATAGCATTTATGCTAATCACAGGTAAGCTACATGTGTATCAAGTAGTTAAGTGATAGCATTACAGAAGCTGATATTCCCTTTTTTGAGTAAAAAGGATATTACCTATGGAAGTTAAAAAAAAAAGATATTTTTTATTCCAGCCATATTTATTAAATAAGTGATCTTGACAGACTTTGCAGATCATTGACCTAGATGGACAATGAAGATCAGTGACCTTGACTGAAATTAAAGGCCAGAGAATTTGTTATAAAAAAACACCGCTGACCATTTTAATATAAACACATTACTTCATGGATTTAATGAATGTGATGAAGAAAACAATGCATTTGTACTTCAATGTATATCAGAGTACATTATCAACACTAAAAGATTTGTTTAATCATAACTATACCTTGTACGGTGGGGACATGGAGACACACTATATGAATTGTTTATGTTTGTTTGTTGATTTCAATGACTATACATATACCATACCAAAGTTGTAAGGAGAAGGCTTATATAGGCTTTGCCTGATGACCTATCCCTTTGCATATTTTCTGCAATAAAATTTGTTTAAATGAAAAAAACTGCTGACCTTGACAGACAATGTTATCGCTGACCTTGACAAACAATGTGATTGCTGACCTTGACAGACATTGTTTTAGCTGATCTTGACAGACAATATTATTGCTGACCATAACAGACGACGTTATCGATGTCCTTGACAGACAATATTATTGCTGACCTTGATAAACAATGTGATCGCTGACCTTGACAGACATTGTTTTAGCTGACCATGACAGACAATATTATTGCTGACCATAACAGACGACGTTATCGATGACCTTGACTGACAATAGTATTGCTGACCTTGCCAAACAATGTTATTGCTGACCTTGACAGACATTGTTTTAGCTGACCTTGACAGACAATATTATTGCTGACCTTGACAGACGACGTTATCGATGACCTTGACCGACAATATATTTACAGACCTTGACAGACAATATTATTGCTGACTTTGACAGACAATGTTATCGCTGACCTTGACAGACAATATTATTGCTGACCTTGACAGACGACGTTATCGATGACCTTGACAGACTATATTATTACAGACCTTGACAGACAATATTATTACTGACCTTGACAGACAATATTATTGCTGACTTTGACAGACAATGTTAACAGTGACATTGACAGACAATATTAACAGTGACCTTGACAGACAATGGTAACAGTGACCTTAGACAATATTATCGATGACCTTGACAAACAATATCATCGTTGACCTTGACAGACAATGTTAACAGTGACCTTGTAGAAAATGTTGACCAGCAACGTTGACAAATATGAAGAAAAGGTGACAGTAACTGACAAAACAAGTGATAATATACAGATAAGGGAGATACATTAATTGGACAGGAAAGATGACATGTGACCTAACAGGCAATGTAGACATGAAACCCTGACAATGAAAGTAAAAGTCCTTTTTATACCTGTGATATTGACAGACAATCGAAACTAGGGAATTGACAAAGAGGACAAGTGAACATGACAAATAAGACAATTGACATTGACAAAAAAAACAAGTGGTTTTAAAATGAAGACAAGTGGTCTTGACAATGAAGACAAATATCCTCGACAAAACAGAGAGGTGACCAGCACAATGAAAACCATGTGGCCTTGATAATGAAGACAAGTGACTTTGACAAAGAAGATTAGTGATCATTTTATTATCCTTGAAAGACAACCTTTTTATTAGCTAAATGTTTAATTAAGTGCATGTTACTCTTGTGTTAATCTTGAAATTCTGATGAAGACCTAGTGCAGGATATAAAATAGACAAAAAGTCTATGTATACGTACAGTATGGTGCCCTATAGTGAGGGAACAGGCCAAACTCATAGCTAGAGTTACCTCCCCTACACCACTGACTTAAATTAAAACAAGAGGCCCAATGGGCGATGCCCAATGGGCCTGCATCGCTCACCTGGTATAAAACTCACACTTGTAACCTTAAAAGTGATCTAAAATAAAGCTACAGGAAAAAATATCAGTATTTATGATTAAAATTCATTCAAAAGACCCTGTTATTTATTTTTGGAACATTTCACCCCTGTGATTGAAAGTCGAACAAAGTCATTATGTTGAACGCATTGTATAGCCTTTCATCTCAGGATGCAACTTGCAAAGTATAAACATCCCGGGACCCATGGTTATTCAGAAGAGGTTGTTTAAAGATTTTAAACAAATTTGACCCCTGTGACCTTGAATATAAGTCAAAGTCATTCACTTTAACAAACAAAGTAGTCCTTGATCCCAGCATATGCTACTGACTAAATATCAACATCCTGAGCCTTTTGGTTATTCAGAACAAGTTGTTGAAATATTTTGAACATATTTGCTCCTTGTGACCTTGAATATGATTCAAGGTCATAC